ATGGCCAGGTGTCAGTTGTCCGCAGGTTGTTTAGTGCACTTAGAGCTCTACAGCACTTAGCTGTCACTGGAACCATTAGGGCAGATAGCTTGTCTGAGACAGTACTACCCAAGCCTCTTAGCTCAAATCAAGTCAGATCAGGTTGCTCAGGATTATGTCCAACTGTGTTAATCAAAGTCTTCAACGATGGGGAGCCTATAACTTCTTCTGGCCATCTGTTATAGTGTTGAAAAGAAGTATTTCTTATCTTTCTATCATCCTCTAGTGCAGGATGGATGGTTTCTTAGTACCGGTCTGTCATTTGGGTGATGGTCTGTCCACTGGGTAAGGATGAGATCAGTAACAGGTACCTTTGGTATGCAGGTCAGCTGGTGTGGAGTGCCAGACTGTCTGGGTCACTCAAAGGTTGCAGACTGAATGTGATCCTGAGAGTCTAGGGAAGGTCAGAGATGTGTGATAATCACAGGCAGCTGACTGCTTTTGAATTACAAAGAACCATCTGTGATCAAAAGAGTTCTGGATACACCAAGTTGATGGCACATCCTTCCCAGAACCAGAAGGTTAAAAGCACAAGAGCTGAGGGAATAACCATCAAGCAGCATAGCACAACCTTTCAGATTTATGTATTGAATTTCTTCACTTTTCCAATAATCAAGTAAATCAGAAACAATCCATTATTTCTTGACCTATCCAGGCTTACAGAAAATAAACTCATCATACTTTCAAATGAAAGTTTCACAAGTCTCTTTTCTGTCTTTAGAGAAACTGCTAATTTGCATCTGAGTAAAAACCGCTAGCAAGGAACAGAGGCTTGCAAACAACGTTCTTCTAAGGAAGTCTCATTTAAGAATGCATTCAATTAAAAAACAAACTTTGAAGTAAAGCAGATTAGGAGCCATTTGTAATATCTGCTTATCTCTTCTAACCAGATGAGTTCGGAGAGGTTTTCTTTACAGCAGTAACGTATCAAAGAGCCCAAGAAAACTGATACTGACTGCTACATTTTAAAGAAAAAGCCTAGTTCCACCACACATGCAAAACAGCAGGATTTGCTCCCCTATTCAGTTCATTTCTGTTCCTTCAGCAGAAACTTGCACACCCGGCTCCCTGTGCCAGACAGGGCCACACTAGCTGAACACATCTTTGGATCACAGTACTGTTGCTATCTACCAAATGCTTAGATTTAAACAGCATCACATACACAGCACATGCTCTGTCAGAAACAGCAAAAAGCAGTTTTCCTTTAAGCCACGATGATTAGGGATCTGGAGCATTTCCCCTGTGAGGAAAGGCTGAGAGACCTGGGACTGTTCAGCCTGGAGGTGCCTGAGAGGGGATCTTATAACTGTTTATAAATATCTAAAGCATGGAAGTCAAGTCAATGGAAGCACTCTTTTCGCTGACGAGAAGCAATAAAACAAGGGGCAATGGGCAAAAACTGGAACATGGGAAGTTCCATACTAACACAAGAAAGAAGTTTTTTTTTTACTGTGAGAGAGTGATGGAGCACTGGAACAGGCTGCCCAGATAAGTTGTGGAATCTCCTTCTTTGGAAATATTCAAGACCATCTAGGCATCTGCCCATGCATCTGACTGTAGAGTGGAGGTCTACTTTAAGAGGGAAGTTGGACTCTACAATATCAAGAGGTCCCCTCCAACATCTACAATTATGTGATTCCAACATTTAAAAAAAAAAAACAAAAAACCACTACCACAAAACAGCTTAGTTACAAAGGTGCCCTTTAAGAAGCTTGTCTTTGGTTTAAGACTCCCTTTATTGCACTTGGCCCAGAGACACATGACAGAAGGGCTACTGTTCTTCAAAATGAACAGCCAGCCTCACATCCATATCAGCCTTGCATCCCATGCAGTACTGCACTAAGGCAACTGTACTCTTTTCACTTTTGATCTTGATATCCAAGAACTTCCCTTTGTCTGCAAGATATTAAATACCAGGATAAATGAACTCCAGCATGCTTTGCTCATCAAGAGCTTTCTTTTCTAGTTGAGAATGTACCAAGTTTCCCATCCTTATGGAAAAAGGACAAGAATAAAACTGACATCTTTGATCCACAAGAATCATCAGTTGTCAAAAAGGGGAAATCAAAGTAAACAGCTGCTTTATGCCAAACTCAAAATTGCTGCTGCTCTTTGTTATCCTCTTTGCAGGAAAGCTGACAAACTGAGAAAACAGACCCAAGATGCCAATGCTACCCGATATTATGCATTTCCAGTTGGTTTTCCCACAACACTGTGGTTTGGCTCTGGTGCAGCAGAGAAGCAGGAGAAATCTACTTGGCCATCTGCTCATATCCATAGCATGCTGTATGTTTATATGTAAAGAGGAGCACTTCATGCCAACTTCCCCATGTAGGAGGGAAGGGAAAGGAAGAGATCAAAACTCACCAGCGCTGCAGATGCCTACTCTAAAAGCTGAACATCTGTAGTCTTCTCAAACTGTGCAAGACAATCATGGAGCATCTCTGCATCATCAAGGCAGCACTGACATGGTACCCTGCACTCCTGATTCCCTCCGCTGAGCTGAAACAGAGCAACACGAGCAGCTAAGAAATTAAGGCTCTTAGACAAGACGATTCACCCTCTAGTGGCTGACACATGACCTTGCTTTTGCCTGAATGCATGCAAAACTGGGTAACCTTAGGGCAGGTGGGTTAAGCCCTGTACAAATGAGCACAGCAACACTTCTCAAACACATCAATGAAGACAGATGGCCAAGGACCACATGAAAGCCAGTACATAAGTACACAGTACAGAATCACTGCAGTGCTGTAAAACAGATCAGTCCCTAGCTCACAGTTGTTTGCCATGACACAGGAAATTAACAAATACATGGGAGAGAAGACATTTTTAAACTGTTTTTATTAAATTAATACATAAATTACGTTCCTGTGTGCCATGTCTGATAACATAGTTAGATGCATCTCATTGATGATAATTCCAAACAAAAACATAGTGGAAAACAGATAAATCTTGTGATTTCATAAAAATTTAAGACTTCAAATTATAAAAAATATGAATCTGCTAGACAAGCTAAAGCAAACAAAGCTTTTACTGCCTACATTATTTCAGGTTTCCACAATTGCTCTCAGGAAAAGCTCGACAATGCTGACATCATTGTGGTTTGGCCATACAAAAGGGATTTGGATCCATGAGGTCCATCTGTACCAGCATTCCTGTGGATGACGGGCATTCTTTGAAGTGACCTTATTGCGTTTTCATTTATACTGCTTTGCATAGTCAAGAGCAAGCAAACCACACTGCTTTGAGAAACCAGACAGAAAACTTGTTCCAGCTGCTATGATGAAAACTGGAATCCAAAAAAAGGCTCCCAAAACACACACTGTGTAGGTGACCGTTCCTCTATAGCCCCTTTCCTGGCAACCCTGCATTGGTGCTCAGCATTAAGGTGAATCATGTACTAGATCTCTCCAGCTGGATTCTCAGAACCTGGAAAATCAAAGCAAACACAGAGTTCTTTTTCAGCTTTGTGTGCACTACTTGGAAAGATTACACACACAGAAGCCCTCTGCACAGAAAAAAATGCTTAACGCTTTCTCATTTTATTCAAGCACAACTATAAAGTTCAAAAGTTAAAAAGAAATCCTTTGGACATCTACTTACCTGTTTTTTGGAAAACAGTGAAAAAGCTGAGATTTGCAGGTCTAAAAATATGTTCCTGAATTAAAATGAAATTTGTCCTTTAAAAACCCAAATCTGAAGTGCTTTGGGAACTGAAAAGTCCTGGAGTCTTATAATAATGCTTTTCTTTGAGGTGACTCACTGTCTAGGTATAGTTACCAGCCAAAAAAAAAAATATATATATATTACATTCATCATGCATAATATAAAGGCAATATAATTCAAATTCAAGTTCTGCTTAAGGCACTGAAATGAGATTTCTCTGCTTCAAACCTATGGAACCACTTTGATACTTCTTATTCCCCTCCTAAAACTTACGCCACCCAACTTTTATTTTTGGATCACGCAGCATTCCATATGAAAAGCTTCCTAGAAAGGACATTTTAAATGCTGGGTCTTCACAACATACACAAGCACAGAACAACAGCCTCAGAACCTTCTCCTTCATACAAATCTTTTTTGAGAGTCCGAACACCCCACACCTCCAGTAAAGACAAACCATAGTTCACTGTGCTTGCAGGCACCTAAATCACAGGATGTGTAATAAAACAATTCCATACACTTGATGGGTTGCAGCTCTGCTGTGCAGGGCTTAAAGCAAGCTGCAAAGATTCCTAGTATTAACACTGATGATGTTAACTACCTGTACTGAATTTGGACAACACTTTAATTCTAAGAGTATAATCAGTGAGGGCCTCCTATCCCCAGATCTTTTAACTTTGAAGATGCCAAAAACTTTTAACTATGAAGATGCTTCTTTGCTCATCTTTTCTGACCTGGCTTGTCTGCCACACTGGATCAGCTTTGGTTGTTGGCAATGTGGCTACTATTTCCTTTGCTGAGTTCTTCCTCTGCTGACCATCAGAAGCAAATGAGTAATTCCTGTATCTAGCAATTAAGATCACTCACTGTTGTTCATACTAGCAACCAGAATAAAACATTGGAAATACTCTGCAGATGCATTAAGGAAGGCATCTTCATCAGAAGTAGGCATGTTCCACTTCTAGGGTATAGAAAGTTTGAGAAACATCAGCTCCTGAAAATGAAGGTAGAGAGACTGTGAAATTCATGAGATCAGATGGGCTATCTATGGTCTAATCAATAAAACACAGGCATTAATTCCTGACAGGAAAAAGATCTTTACTTTGACTTATGGCTCATTCTTTGTTCTGAAGTAGACATGTAGATAAGATATTTCCACCACAATTTTTTTTTTTTTTTTTTTAACGTAACTGAAGACATACACATGAACTTTTCTATATTAATAAGACTTGAGGACACCATTCATGAGAATAAGCATGTTTTGGAGATTGTGAAGGTTTGTAACAACCATATGAACATTGCCAAAAACAAAAGAGCTTAGGACTTTATTAAAAACAATACAATCTGGAAAGTTTTAAAATGGAATTTCATTCAGTCAGATATTTAAGTAAAACAATAGACTAGTGTGAACACTAAGTACTACTTGATCTCAAGTCCAGAAATCACTTTCATGGCAAATGCTGTAGTAGGGGCTCTTCATAAGAAGCAGGAAGTGGACACATTCAAGGGCGGTGCATAGAAGCTGGCTTTTCTCAGCGATCACTTTTTCAGGACAACACAGCAAAAAATACTTCTGAGTTCACTTAGGTAACTGTATGACATGATACTAGGAAATGAAATTTCTCTAAGCCATCTTCTGTTCATTATTAGCATAGATATGCTCCATGGAACAATGCAGGAAAAAAGCACAGCAGTCTTAAAGTCAGGGGTTCAATGGTAGCTGGTCTACAGACAGGCAGGGCCTTAGAAGCACACAGCAAATGGATGGGTCACATTTTAGTTGCAACTGTTTTTAAGATCCTGGTAAATGGATTTGTGGGCTCGTGCTTGGCCCACAAAGTAGCAGCCATAAGATTTGGACACAGAGAAGAGGGTCTCTATCCCGCACAGAAACCAAAGTCTTTGCCCCTTTGACAGAGTACTTCCTGAACAAACTGCTGTGTCACATGATTGAGTTCATTCTTTTCCGGTTGTAAGCCAAACCAATTTCAAGTCCTAGACTACTCCAAGCCTGCCAGCACTTGATACATCATCACGTGCCAAGGCAGAAGCTGTTTAGAGGGTAACCACAGAGCAGAACGTGTTAGAGGAATAGCCCTTCACACAGCCCACAAAACTTAACCGCAGGTTTCAGATGCCGGTTTTGGAAGCAATCCAGTCTCGATAAAAAGTCACTCGCGTGTACACTCCTGGTTTATCTGCCTTGCCACATTCATCACCCCAGCTCACTATTCCCACGAGATACCAGATTCCTCTGGAGTTTGCCTTCACCAGTGGCCCACCAGAGTCACCCTAAGGAGAAAAACATCAGCAGACGGGAACAAAAAGCAAACAACATTCACTTCACTAATGCAGGGAACATCATATTGTTATGTTACAACAGACTGAGACTTTTCTCTAGATCACAGCTAAAAGTTTACTGAGAGGACAGAGGCTGACAGCCTGTATCTACTACAGTCTCTCCTATCCTAGACCATTACATCTGCATTCTCTCAAAAGCATGCTATAAAAAACAAAAACAAAAACAAACAATAAACATCTAAGTGCAGATCACAACCTAGAAGCAATGAAGCTCTTAATTTACATCTCTGAAGATCCTGAACCCCATTAACAAAAGACACCATGGGAGAATCTTACTTATTATTATTTCTAGGAAAAGTCACTTTCCATCCCACCTATTTCTTCTTTCTTAAGATGAGACTTACCTGGCAAGCATCCACCCGTCCCTCTAAGTATCCAGCACACAACATCCCTGGTGTTATCATTCCAGCATACACTTGTGGTCTATTACAAACTGCAGTGCTAATAATTTTTACTTCTGCTTGTCGAAGCTGATTAACACTAGGGCCTAGAAGAAAAAGTGGCATTCTAAGATATGCGAGGATTAGGAGTAGCCAGGCTTTCCTAGAGCCTTCCTGCCATTGTCTGAAGAATGTCTAAATAAAGTTATTTTTGCCCAAAGTCTTTCACCCACTCATCCCAAACACAACTTCTTCCCATCTTTCACTCTCAATTGATGGTCTTTAACGTAACAGGCAAAGGGATTTTTGTACATTTCAACGTTCAATTCAGCGATTGGCTTTATTGTGTATCTTTGATGCCAACAGAAATACCCATTTGATTAAATGCAAAGCAAGTTAGACCATTACTGTACATTTCAAGAGTCTATCACGAACTACATCTTATAGCTCAAATTGCTCTCCTACTAACACAATTAGTCTCATCATCTCTAATCTCAGTGACATTGGCCAATTTGAATCAAGCTCATTTGAGCCATTTGATGAACTGAAGCCTGAATTAGGATCAAAGAGATTAACTGACAAAAATTTATGACAGATCTGTGACAGACATAACTGAAAGGTTTGTCTTAGCTCAGGTCAGAGGATTAGGCCAGTGAGAATGGAGAACAGAATGCATTTGACCACTTTGATGCATGCACCAACAAAAAAACTGCTCTTAATCCTATAAAAATATCCTGCAGGAGTTTTTCCCTAAATTCCAAGCCATTGATCAAAACAACTCCAACAAACTAAGTCCACCAGTGCAAAATAAATCAAAGTCATAAAATCAACAATAGTCCTGTTAGACATGTCTGAGGGGAAAGGAAGCCTCCACAGGGAGTAAAGAGAAACTCACCATCATTCCTCAAAGCTCCCCAACCTGTGACAAAACAGGAAGTATTATCTTTTAATATGTAAGATGCTTCAGGAAGACAGACACTGTGCACATCACTTGTGAACTCAATAGAGGAGGCAAGTTCCACAACAGCTATATCATACTCATGATCAGGGACAAGGCTATTGTATTTTTCATGAATGATAATTCTTCGGACATATCTTCTCTGTTTTGGAGGCCTCAACAGAATTCCAAAACTAGCAGTCCATCTCCGAGGTTCTCTTCCTCTGAAAAACATTGGCAATTATGTCACAAACACACAAAAAAGATTTCCACAGAAACACAGCTTTCTGTTTAAGAAAAATACAACATGGTCAGCTTGGTCTACAGAACAGAGAAGAGCCAAACTTCATTGTCTTCCAGCAGATAAAGACATTAGCGGTTCGTGAAAAGTCAGAGTAGATTTATCAGAGCACCCATAAGTTGTAGGGCTTACAAGATCAGAAAGGTGCCGATAACTTACGCTTTAAAGCAATGGGCTGCAGTCACTAGCCATGTATTACTGATCACTGAGGCACCACAGTAATGTGTCCCATCAAGCTGAATACTAGCTTGCCATGGCCATTCTCCGTCCTGCGCACGTTGTCCATCTGTTATTCTTTCCACTCCTGAGAAGGAGAATCCCTCCTTTCGTATTCCACAGACTGTCCAAAAAACCCCAAAACAAACAAAACAAAGGCAGCTGTGTTAGCTGATTGAGGAAACCCAGGGTCTGCCTATTGGGGAGGCCCATATGGCTGCTGGCACAGGCACAACAGGGCAGAGCTGTCAAGAGACAGCCTCCACCTAAAGCAGTGCCTTCAAGAGCAGAGAAATTAGGTGCTGTTGTCACAAGGGTCTCAGGATAGATATGATGTAAATGAACATTGGTAGAAATATTACTAGTTGTCAGATACACAAAGCAGTGAACTTCCATGGCAATGGAAGGCTGTATACCTGTAGAGAGAACAGCTTACCAGCTTAGGGCAGAGGCAGGAATGGATGCATATACAACAAAGAAAAGTTCTAAACTAGGGCTTTGCAGACAACAGATTGTCTGCAGAAAAAAAGATCTGGCATGACCATTTTCAGAGAAAGCTAGGACTTTCCTTAGTGCTACATGTACAGAATGTTTGGAAGACACAACTTGGATAACATTTTAATGCTCTGATTTTTCAGTCTTGCTAGTTGTATTGGGTAACCGTCTCTCATCCAAAAAGATTTTCAGCTCACAACAGCTGCAGTCCTCATGCAAAGCTCACTGAGAGCAACTCATCTACTTACCATAGCCAAAACTAAAGGCAATCCAACTTGATGGTGGTGGGCTAAGCATAAACACTGCAGAGCAAGCAAAACTCCAAAAAGAAAAAAAAAAAAAAAGCTAAAACCGTCTCTGGCTCATGAATTAGCTACTGTTCTAGTAGCTTAAAAAGTTATTTTTCAACTTGCATCTCAAGCTTAAAAAAATCTTAAAAACACTGTACTGATGGCACTAAGTCCCTTGATGATTTCTGTAAAACATTTGTACTTACAGTTGTTTATAAGGTTATCTCCATTCTCCTTATTCAATTCTGAAATGAAAAACAGAAAATACACTGAGGATATTTCACAATGCTATGTGAAATCCATATGAGATTTGAGACAAACTGCTTATATCCAGCAAGCAAATGAAATTACTTGTACTGCTGCTTGCAATAACAGTACGGTAAAAAGAGTACTTTGCTCTACTAAATAAGTTCTGTTATGCTTCTGGTTCCTCACTCAAAGTGGAAGGCTAAAGGATACATTTTTTTTGTTTAAAGCTAAAAAAAGAAAAGCAGTAGTTGACCAAATAGGCTCAAATAACATCTGCATGTGGTGGAACCTATGCGATACTAAAGCCTGTATGAATATGTTGACATTCATTATGGCAAGGTGGTCATAGATCCTCAGTACTGGGCTTGACTGGAGCTAAACTGTAATGTTATTGATTTCTTCCCTACAAAACAACCCACTGACAGATTCTGGTGGTAAACAATGACAGACTTTTGTGAGAAGATTAGTGTACAAGCAATGTTTGGTTATTTATGCTTGCTACAGCAATCTGGCAAATATGCAAAGGAAATGACAGATGATGGAGAAAGGAACCATCTCAGCCTTGCATTTTTTAAACAGCTTGAGGACTTCACATTTAAGAACCTAGTGACACAGATTCCTCTTCAATTCACTGTCTGCCTTAGCAAAGTAATCTGTGAACCTGGGTTACAAAGCCAGCCAGTAAGGCAATATGGCTTGCCCATACCCCAAGTCTGAAAAATGAAAAGGAAATAGAAATCACATATATTTGCGCAGTTAAGTGAAACTCATCACGCTGAATGAGGAAAGTATGAAGAACAAATTCCAAGCTATAAACAAAAATCTAAGCCACTTGCCTGTGAGTTTAATGGTAGACTGGTCAACATTCAAGAACGTTGAGCTTATTTCAAGTCTTCTACGTAACACACTGTAGACATGACTCCAGCTTGTTGCCTCACTGTCAGCTGAGGCAAATTTAAATACCAGAGCAACAGATACAAGCACTCCACCAGGATCTGGGCTGCAAACCAACATAAACAAGGTGGCGTCATCTCTTTGCCCACTAAGCCTCTGTGACCTGCTTTATGATGTCTACCTTCCTTATATGGGAACAGGTCCAGTCTGCACTGATGTGCAGAATGAATATCATAGCTGTACACAAGCAAGGTAGGATGACGTATGATAGCAGGCAGCAAAAGGCCTGGTTTATACTATAACAGTGATCAGAGAGAATCTTCTGGGAGGAGAGGAAGGATCACTCCCTTTAGAGTCTATGCAGCTTAGTCTAGACCTACAGAAATTAAAAAGGTCTTCTGATACTTCTTTACATTTGAGTTACTTGTCAGTTTATGAGAAAGTTCCTTTGGATCCAGAGAAAAAATCTTAATGATTTATGTTATCAGAACAAGGCATGATCACTTAATATCAGTATAAAATATGAAGCCCAATATTTTAGACAAACAGTTCAAAGGAAAACCAAAAGAAACCTAGAGGCAAAGACAGCAGAGATGCAGGTAAGCTGATTCAGTGCTCAGTTGCGTGAAATAAGGTGTCTCCAGTGAAAGTTTATAGCCAGCGCACTGTTCAGTCAGCCTAAAAAGTAAAGAGGTTGCTTGAAGTCTACTGAAAATTTATAATTTCAGTTAATACGAATGTATGGGAACTGCTGAATCATGGCCTAAACTTCTGATTGATCACCTGAGGCGAGCAGTGAGTCAGCCATGGGAGCACAGGTGAAGGCAATTCACCTGTGCTGCCGGAAGGGGTAGAGCCCAGCTCCACCTCTCCTAGAACCATTTAAGAGCTGACTAACAGTAGGAAAGGATTTCTTCTGAAGACCCCTCTCCTCTGGAGTTTTGCAGCAAGTCCAGAATGTAGGTAAGCTTTCTATTCTCTTTTTGTTATTATAATCTGCTCTGCCAAACTCTCATTTTTTTCATAATTATAACATCTTAGTATTCATTGACTATACAACGGAGTATGGGAGGTTTACAGAAGAAACCAGCAGTGAAAAAAAATGTCAAGCAGCTTAAAGAAATAACCACATAGACACAGGTAAAAGCAAGAGAGAATTTCTATGTGATTCACTGCTGATAGGACAAGGAGGAACAGTTTTGAAAAAAATGAAGAGAGACTTAGAATAGACAACAAGAGGAAATTCTTTACACAGAGGGTGTTGAGGCAGTGGAGCTGTTGCCCAGTGAAGCTGTGCATGTCCCAGAGATGTTCAAAGGCCACATCCGAGGTTGGATGGGGCAATGGACAGCCTGCTCCAGTGGGCGGCAAATCTGGGAGTCTGGACTGAATGGTCTTTAAGGTACCTTCTAATCCAAGCCTTTCTATGATTGTAAGAGAGTCCCAAAGTGCTGTGGAAAAGCACATTTGCAGGAAGCATGGCATTCTTCACTATCCAGGGAAAAATATTCCACAGCAGATTTGGGCCTTACAGAAATGTAATTATTCCAAACCTAAATCAAGTGATGGTTCTTACCACTGGCAGAAACACATGCATGGAGAAGGGAGACTTATAAAGTCTCACAGAACCTCCGTATCCATGTCTCAGACTTGCCTCCTTTCTTCTCTCTGCAGATACCTCACACTGGAATTTATTCCTTCATATCTTTGCTAAGATGGGGAAGAATAGTCACCTCCTGCTATACACCATGCAGGGCAGTAAATACCAGCTTGAGTTTCTACAGAAAACATAATGTGGAATAAAGAGCTGACTGGATCACACAAGCACTTAACTAGCAGCAAAAGCTGGGATCACCTCATTTTCATTCATTTACTGCATCACAGCCACAAAGAACTAGTGTTCAGGTAATCAATCTGCAGAAGTATATGGCCAATTTTCTCTTCCTTGCTGATCTCCAAAGTAGTGTAAGCCCTCAAAAATGTTGAAAGTTCTGGAGGGAAGTGATAACAAGCCAAGACTTCAGATATCCAGCTAGCGTGATCCAAGCATAAGCAACCATGTACATTCCATGTGGTCAAGGGATAGGAAGGAATTATATTAATCCCATTTCTGCTTTTTTCTGACCTTCACGTTACTTACCTTAGAGTGACAACATGGGATCTAATGTACTTGCTGCTCAGAAAGGACCCCTTAAATACTTTAGACATCTGTTAAAGGAAAAAAGTATATCAAAATACACCTGTAATACATGCATCCTCTCAAACTGGAACAGTCTTGTGAACCCCTAATATACAAAAACTGCCTTTGGAGCCCTATTTCTATATCAGAGCTACTGCTGAACTTCCATTGGAGATTGCAGAATTAAAATAAACAGTCGAGTTAGCAAATCTGTCATATTCTCCAGGCACCTTTCCAATTGCAGGGTTGCTGGAACAGACAGCACACATGCTTACTATCTGCTTGCACACAGCAAGGTCTCTTTACCACTACAGTAATATTTAAAAGACAGCGCTGACAAATTTACAGTGGAGCAGAGAAGAACTGCTTGTATAATTCCTCCTTCCTGAGTGCAGAGGCAGCAACAAGGAATTTAACACTCCCTGTTGAAAGCTAGAGTCAGAAGATGACTGGGGAGGATATAAAGATGATTGGAAGATGACTAAGAAGGTTGTATAGAAGAATGAGTCAGATTCTTTTCAGTGGCGTCCAGTGGCAGGACAAGAGACAATGGGGATGAATTGTCTGATTTTATGATCTAGGGTGAATTTGTTCTGAGCCAAATCACATAACAGCTCCCAGAAAGACATGCAGTCCCAACTTTCTGCTTTAAATAAGTTACCAGGACTGCTTTTGCTATTTTCTCCATATAAGCCTTTCTTACTGTACTTTGTGCACCTTAGAAGTAATTTGTCTCTTTCCTGTACCACCTTAGTTATCTAGTGTCTTGGCTGAAAGGAAAAGAAAGCTATGCTAAGCAACAGTATGGCTGCCAGTACACATGTGCAGGGCAAACAACCTTTTACAGCTCTAGTTTTATACCCTATATAGACCCAACTGGAACACTGCATCAGAGTTTGAACTGTTCCTCTGCTAGGCAGTTGAGCTTTTAGTTACTGATTTCCACAGTATAGTCCTTATTTAATAGGGGTGACCTGCAATTTTTGCGCCCAGATCTCTAAGTACAGTAAGTAATAGCACTGGAATTGCTAGGGCAGAATCCATGTCACCAGCCAGTGAAGAATGCCCTTCACCAGTTGAATGCTATTCCTGCGCTGATACATCCATGACTGCTTCCAAATCCTCCTTGATTTGGTGTAAGGATGTACAGGATCATTCACTGCTCTCTTTGCAAGTCCTGTGCAACTGTGGCAAAACCACTAAGCTCGTAGTAGTAGTTAGGCATCTAAATCCTGATTATTTCTAAGAGAACTAAACATTTAATATTGATGAGCTCAGCCTTGATCACACTGTGCTATTTTTCCCATCCACTCTAAGCAGCAAAACCACCACCAGGCTGCCTGTATAAGATTTGGAAAGATAGGTACCATAGAAAAATTGCAAGGCATGCAGACACCATGATATTGAGAGCCATATGCATGACAGACTTCCAATAGAGTTCTTCAACCCCAGCAATTTCCCAAGTGTTTAAAATTTAACGTTGTCATTGACAGTTTCTCTGTTGGCAGTAGCAGACTGGATAGTCTAAATCACTAAACACAGGTGAATGGCAGAGCCAGAGAAGAGACTCCACTTACTCCAATGTTTAATTCTCCATCTTTTGCCCTTGGAATAGCCTGATATAGTCTACATAATCTAGGTACATGAGCATGAAGCACAATCACCCCTGACTTATTTCCAACCACATAATTGTAGGACTCTTCACCATAGGCCAGATAGAGACAGAGAAACAATTTAGTTTACCATGGTTTCAATCTCTTGGCTCAGGTATCTGAATTCCTCCGTCGTTTGCTTTCCATACTGAAGGTCATATGGGACATTGGTGATAAGGAAAGTTGCATTGTAATATCGATCCTCATCTACATAAGAGAGGAAGAGGACAAGTTGCTTCATTCCTTCAGTATGAATCAGACACTCATAGCTCTGTGCAGGACACTGCATAAGACTCCCAGACTCTGGTTGCATCACTATCAGCTGTGGCCAAACTCTGGACAGCACAGTGAGGCAAGGGGGATCTGGGACATCTTGCCACACCACACAGCTAAGGACTTACCTCCACCCTTACAACCATCCCAAGCAGCTCTAAATTACATCCACTACAGATCTTCTTTGAGGACCATCAGACTAGATGCCTTCTGGCATATTCCTGCCCCTCAGAGGCAGGTGGCCCTTGCAGAGCAGTTTCACATTCACTCAGCAGCTGGGGTTAAGTTTAAAATCTGTCTCTTGGGTAAAGGCTGATGGCCCTTACAATAGAGAATTAGCAAAAAGCTATTTGCAAAAATAAGCTACAACTCTGCCAATACATTGTCTAGCATCCTATGATTATCCATGGCCTTGCTGAATCTTGGTGAGCAAAGACAGCAACACAACTAGTTCTGTCACAGCAGGAGTTAATTTTAAAACCCCTCACCTGCCTGCAGTAAACTGGGAACAGAGTGACATCTCTCAATTACTACTAAAACAGAGTCCTTGGCAATCAGGACTCCAGAAAACTCAAGCCTCTCTCTTTTTGTAATGGTGTACCAGATTGTTTCTGCAAAAATCTTGTTCAAGACCAAGATTACTATGCATACATCATCTGAGTGTTAACACATACTTCTGAGCTTCCATACAACACACACAATTATTGCCTAACCATGGATAACCGTGAAGGTAGTAGGACAAGACAAAATGAAAAATGGACAAACTTTAAATCCCCATTCAAGTAAGTGATATTTTAAGTATTCTTTAAGGATTTCCAGTCAATACAGGACTTTAACAGGATCTAATAAGTTCCCATGCAGATTCTATACCCTCAGTGGATTTCATAATTAAATCACTGGGCAGGACTACAACAACAAGCGAAACACAATAGATACTCAAGACAACAAAATAATCCACTTACAATGGCACAAAAAATAAGAAATCAAGCCAATGACGAGGGCCAGACCAATTATCACTGACACAACGATGACAGCTATCTTCCATGGCTTCACATTCCTCCCTCCTGAGTCCATCTGAGTCAATATCTGCAATGGAAAAGAAAATATGTAAAAATTCAACTCTGTTAAAAACACAATAGCACATCCCGAGCAAAACTGTACCTGGCCCAGCTTAACTCAGCTCACTGACACAGACTCACAGAAACAGGTAGGTTGGAAAGGCCCCTGAATGCTAGGGGTCTGAACTTCTCAAACAAGCTCCCATTAGAGCAGGTTTCCACAAGCTTCATCAGGTTTTTAGTATCTCCAAGGACAGAGATCCCATAACCTCTCAGGATCCTGGTTCAGTCTGTGATCACCCTCCTCACAGCAAAAGCTTTTTTCCTTATATTTAGTAAGAATTTCCTGTGTCCCAACTTGCCTGTATTTATTACCTCACATCCATCTCTGAGAAAAGCCTGAAGTATAGTGCAGGTATCTCTAGTAGAGACTATTTCCCATCAAGAAATATTACACAGATTTCAAGTACAGTTGGCTGCCCAGACAGGCGCTTAAACTGAACTTGACTGTAAGAATTCCTGGCTGACGTGGTAACTTCTGCACTCTGAGATATAAGAGATGCCATAAAACACAGTTTTGAGTTATTTTTCATTGTTATGAGTAGTAACACGTATTGGTCTCCTACCGGGTTTAGGTTTCTTCTCACCAAAAGCATGCATACATTGCAAGAGACAGTGTTGTGGCAGTGTTGTGCCAGACAATCTGACAGAGGAGAGAAAAACCTACCAACATGTCAATACATGGCAACAAGACCCAGTCTTAGTGACACAGTAAAAGCCAACAACACACCTGAGAAAACGTTGGGAATCTGACTCTTGTGGATAAAGGAAGAATGAGCCTCCTCCTTCCATTTATTTCCTCTTGTGCCACCTTAGGCAAGAGAACACTAGGAAAACTGCATCTTCGCTTACGTTGCTGTATAATGATGCAAAGCCTTAACTGCCATTATTTCAGAACCCTAGTAATTCTACAGTGTGCTATGTACTCATTGTCAAGCCATGCATTGAGTCTCTACATTGTGGCTGGCATTAGTATAAGTTGTTAGAAGAGCATGTGGAATAATTCCTCAAAGTGACTGAGGTGAAACACAGCAATAGCAAGCTCTGAGGAGGAGGCACTTAGCCTCCACTAAACCAGGTTTGCATTTGCATTGTGGGTTCGACACACTTGATGTTATACTCCCCTTTTCAGGCCTTTGGCATAGTCATTTCTGAACAACACCTGAGATCAAAGGAGGAGTTGTGAGCAGACAGACAGATGGAGGGTTCACGTTTTCTCACCATGGAGTAACAAGGCAGCACAGTGAAAGCAAAAATGAGCCAGCAGAGCAGGATAACAGCAAAACCTGCCAGTAGCTTAAGATGTGCATTCAGAGGACAGACCAGAGTCAAGGTAAAGGCACAGTGCACAAACCTATGACAGCAAAGAATAGTGAAGTCAGGGGAGCATGAATGGAGTTCTACACTCCACCTTAAGGGTGAGAAAGTTGAGCAAAGCTATGAGGAAGGCAAGGCAGGAAACACAAATCAGGAAAAGAAAAAAATAAATGGTAAAGCCACAAAAGCAGCTGAGATGTCTGCACACAGAGGTGTTCAGCAAGAAGGGATAGTTGAAAACAACTCACACAGTAATCTCCTCTCCCAAAAGTTTGGTTTTAGCTAGTGAGTGTTGGTATGTATCCCAGAGTGTTTCTTAGGAAGGGAAGCAGGAAAATTTTTATGCTCTCAAACAGGTATTGTTCACTGCTAAGTTTTGTTGCAAAAGTTTTCTGCAAATCTACCTGTCTTTCCACTAGACAGGCTTAGTTTTTGTTGGAAGGTCTGTGCAAAGCAGATTGCAGAGCATATGAGAGCTGCCTCAAAGTCTGAGCTAATCAAGATTGCTTCCTATGGAATCTCCGAGTTGCAGTGGCACCTAGTATTCAGTCCTAAGAAAATAGTTTAAAGGAAGCACTTGATTTCTATATTCATACAGGTTGTTACTTTGTATATAGACATGCAAACTAAAGCAGAAACACCTCTTCAAATCCCAGTTTCCTCTCTTTAGAAGGATGCTCTTATCACCACCTTGCTAAAGAAAGAACTGGGACAAGAAAAATCACTTGTGGAGTGAAAATGCCACATCCCACCACCTCCTCATGTTTACAGCTTCTACTATACATCCTTCAGCTGTGCTACTCAAGTGCAGGACTTAGATAAGCAAGCAGCATCTACCATCTCTGTTCACTTCAGCAGCAGACCTGCAGGTCACCAACTGTGCAAAGGCATTGGGAAGGAAAAACTCTCTGTTTAGAACTTTATAAGAAATAATCTTTAGTCATCCATTCCAGGAATCAGACAGCAGAGAAAAGACGGCCTTATTTGTCCCAAAAGCAGTTATAATCTTTGAAGAAAAACTTGAGTAGAGGCAGCACTAAGCATGTACTGCTTGCACTGGAGCAGCACAAGGCTGACTATGATGTTAGGAAGAGCCAGCTCTTGTTCAGATTACATCCACTCCGCACATTCAGTCAGTAATCAGATATTACACCACCAACCAGCATCTGGCAGGGATTCCTGTTCCTTGGACTGCTATCTCTGTAGTTAAATAGTTCAGTGGCAGGTGGACCCCTATGTTCAGCAATCAAAATTATGCATGATCTTCTCTAGGCTTCAGTCACCAAGAAAACTCTGCTCCACCCTACTACGCACCCTTGGCTAAAGAAACAGTGACTCCTCTGTGGTGCCGAAGAATGCAGAGGCAGAGATGATCTGATCACCTTCACTTAACAGATGCATCTTTTCCTTATAACATACATCAATATATATTTTTATTATTACTGTCCAAACTACAGCAACCTGCCATTTCATTCTCAGGAGAGAATTCCAAGAGAATTCAGGAAACACCAATACACTTACCCTTCAGCACAGCAGCCATGTAAGTGAGAGCATGAAAATAACCTTTCTTCCTCAAAAGTAATCCTTGAGAGATCTCCACCTGGAAGGCTGAATCCTCTCCCTGCTCTGAAAACTACCTCCTCACAGTCTATAACAGGAGGCTTTTGGTCTGTACTATACAGCAAAATGTTTCAGAACAAAACTCTCAGTGGGACTATGAACTAATACCAGACCTCCTCTAGCAATCAGTGCTCATTAAAAAACACTTCATATCCAGGAAGACCACAATGGTCCAGTGACTGTAGCATCTGACAAGCTCTTGTCATGGTTCATTTAGGTCTGGAACGTGAACTATTATTCTCATACTTTACACATCTTTGTTCTGCACCAAAGAAAGCATTTTGATGACTAAAAAGTTATCACATATGGAAAAAAGCCATCCAAATGAACTTCAGAAACAACTCAGTTCTGTATAAACACAATAAAGGTGTGTTTATACATATATAAGCTCTGATTAAGATATTTTAAAAATAAGTAAAATGTAGCAAGAAAAAGCTATATTAATAGTTACTGACACATCATGAAACATTTGTACTGAAATTTTACTGGAGTACTACTTTGACCTTCCTTACAAAAATCAATGAGAGAATGGATAGCATTTCAAGTTGCCATCTCTTCTAGTTGAACTACTATGTTTTACCTCAATAACATCAATTCCAAAAAACTGATCTACGTTAAATGGAAAACAGTTCAGACAAAGAAAGGAAGTCAAACTGCCACCTATGTCCCCAGAAAAGGGTCTAGGTACTGGGTAAGCAGGGAAGGTTGCCCTGCTATGTTTTAGGAATCTGCCCTTGATTTTTTTCTCATCTCTTAATTTAAGCCTTCATAGCACTTCTTACCTATATTTGCTTTCAAATGGATCTAACATATTCGATTTTTTTAAGCAACATCTATTTATTCAAAGTTTTCTGCCAAGTTTGGCATAGAATAGGGTTATATGATTATAACCCTTCCATTTTGCCATCTGATCTGCTACTGTCTTCTTATAATACATTTAGTTCAATCCCTGCTCAATGATATTGCAGTACTCTCAGAAAAGAATATGGTCTCCAAACATGCAGATGAGGGTCTCTCCATACTTAAGTCATGCCCAGTTTTCCATTCTAGGATTCAGGCACAGTCCCACAGTCACTCCAATTACTCTTCATAGAAATGGGGTGTTTCACAAGACAACTGAACAAACTTACCTGCTGGCTCGGTTAGTGCAACATTAAACTATATCCCTGAAGCAACCTTCTTTGGCAGGATGATTGGGAACGGCAGCAACTAGAGTATGTCTGGTTAACCCCAGAAGACCAGTAGCAAAAGCACTGGCCATGCTAAAAATGCTAATTTCACTCCCACCTCTGCCATAAGCAATCACATCAATCTAGTGCTTTTCTTCTACTTCTCCCCTTAACTGCCCAACTCTGCTAAGGTCTTGTTGCTTCTCAAGAACTCTCTATAGCTAGGCAAAGACAACAGCTTGTCTTTCAGAAAGATTCAAGAGCAGCAGTTAACCTCTGGCATAAAGTCTAAGACAATAAAAAAAAATGCTGCTCATACAGTCTCCCCTGATTATTCAATCAACTTTGCAATCAGCACAAAACGTTTTTGTTGTTTCTTTCTCTCATCCATTTTTTGTATAGCTTTTAGGAGATTGTAAGTTCTATAATTATTTGGATAAAGCCTGCCTACCATACCTGTACAACAAAGTATGTGGGACATAACAAGGCTAACAACTGAAATGAACTTTATTAATAACACATTTTTCTGTAATTGACTGTCACAGCCAACATCTTGGGAAAGATTCTCCTGTTCTGTAACAAGTTTTAGGATAATTAAAAAGGTACATCCTTAAGGACTTTACAGCCTGCATGAAGGTATGAGAGGTCACTATAGTGTAAGGGAAATTAAGTACTTAGCTACTGAACACAATCAGTTTACAATATGGTTCTGCAACTTCTACATCATTTTATACTTTGGCCATAGGCTACTACCTTATTCTATTAGTTCATCAGTTGCAGAATATAGCAGTAGGTCTCTGATTTTCAGCTTCTGGAAAGAACCCTGTCTGCCATTCCTCCCCTTTTCACATTACTCCGGTAGTGAAATACTAGACAAGTAGTTAATGTATCCATGTTTTTTTCTGCCTGACTTTCATTCCAAGATAGGGTGGTGAAACAGTGTGGTACAAGATTTGGTTCACTTCCAAGAGGATTCTGCACATATTAACACTTCACTGACTGCAAAAAAGTCCACTAAAGTAAACAGAAACACAAGAAGCTACTTTTACGACTTCAACCTACTTACCATCTCATACCATGCAGTCAGCAATTGGGACTTCAACACATTAACTGCAGCAGCAAGAAGTGTAGATCAGAGTTACAGCGTAGTGAGAGAATTCTCACTTGCCCCCCACAACCCCCTGTGGCCATGGACCACCTTGCCTTACCACTGATAGAGGAGCCAAGGAGTTCTTGGAAAACAAATGCTTTTTGGGTGAGGAGAAAGGGAGAAGTATAAGGATTACTGATGCATAGAAGGGAGCCCAAATCAGAAATTAGCTCAGAACTAGAGCCATTCATTCTCCAACCCCCACCTTGGTCAAAGCCAGAAATTGCCCAAAAAATCCATATGCTATATAACCATGCTGCACAAAACTACCAAGTAGCAAGTTAGATGGCTGTAGCACTCACCTTTGAGTACCAGTGAGGTCAGGAAGAGGGTCTTTTGTCTGAGAGATGTACCGTCCTGAACTCCACAACACACTGCGCAGCATCTCAGCATAGACTTGAGGCTTTATCGCTTGAATTAGGAAAGAAAGGAGTCATAGGCAAGTCAGAACAAACAAGTCCAGCAAGTCTCAGTGACAGAGGCTTACCCAGTAGCATGATTCCTCCCCTAAAACAATAACAGTACACTTCTTTCATCACACCTTTCATCCAGGAATCCCAAAGCCTTTTCAGAGCATTAACTACACACCCTGCAACACCCCAAATCAGAAGAGACATGAGAATTTTGTGAGGATACAAAGCTTATTTCCTTCTTTGGTATAATTAAGAAAAACAAACATACAAACTGAAAATATAGTCAGGACCAGTACGAAAATGTTGCTTGTGTTAGAGAGACAGTGTTCAATCTGAGGTCAGATAAAGAGCTGATGTATATTGATGAAGGCTCAGTTGCATTTGCCCTAGCTGCCTTGAAAGGTACTATTTGGCCAGATAAGAACTTGAGTGCAGTTGCTGTTATGTTGTCCTCATGTCTATGTTTCTTTCATAGCTTCTTAGATGTTGATTTTGATTGAGACCTCCCAGCCACATTCTGGAAAAAAAATCTTCTAGGTTACATGTGGTATTCGTGTCTGCATAGGCATTTCTACTTGTGCTAGTTATGGCAAGTTAATTGGGAAGTCAATTACCACAAGCACAAACTAACCTAAGGTAGCATTTCTCAATCTTAGTCAATTTTAACTTTACTAAATTCACTCAAAAACATATGTCCACACAACCTTATGCACAGATTTGTTCCAGGAAACCAATTTAAAGGACAGAACATCAGAATAAGAGGTCTGTGTATGTGGCAGATACTTTCCTTGCTTTGCTGTAATAGATTTTCTAACATCTAAGGATTCTTTCCTTGCTCCTGAATGGCCTTCATTTGACTCCTCTGTAGCTCAGAAATCACCAGCTAGGAAACATGCTGCTGCAAGTACTTCTTATGAGGCTGGAGCTTTTGCTTCTACCTTACACCAAGTCCACAGACAAATAACTGGAGTACTGCCCTCTTAGGAAGGTCAGCTTCTTTTGTACAAACCAAAGTCTAACAACAGGCTTTAGCTTCTCATAATTTAGATTCAGTCAGGGTATCTTTATAATTTATTATGAAATTCAGTAAGTACAGTTACTAATAATGCATCATGTTATTGTTTCTTAATACTTTAACCACAAGCTGCACTTCCATTCCATAATGGCAAACTTTTATTGAGTCAGTCTAGATATCCAAGAGAAGTGTAGACAAAAGACTAGCTAGAGGGTGAGAATTTGAGGGTAAAGAATCAAATGTCATATGATTACCTGACCCAGGTGGTGCGAATATTTCTGGCACTCCCAAATACTCAGAGCTCTTTCTGATGGCTATTATGGCACAGATGGAACAATGCATGACATGGAGATGTAACAGCAATCACTGAACACTCTAACCTGCAGGCAAAACAACCCACTGGAAAATATTTTTTTCAGGTCTAGTTTAATGTCAAAAAAGAACCAAAACTGGTGAAGGATGTAACAACCCTGACTAATGGTCCTCTCTCTCCTATACACTCTTCTACAGACAATACTTGTTTGTAGCAGACACTCCAGCTAGAATAAAGGGACAGTAAAGTCCTGTGAAGTCCTCAGTACAGGAGGGATGTGAACCTGTTACAGCATGTCCAGAGGAAGGCCACAAAAACGATTCAATAGATAGAACACATACCCTATGAGGACAGGCAGAGAAGACTGGGGCTGTTCAGCCTGGAGAAGAGAAGGTTCTGGGGAGATCTGATAATGGCCTTCTAGTATCTAAAGGGAGGCTATAAGTAGGAAGGAGACAAATTCTTCGGCAGAGACTGCCATGGCAGGACAAAGGGGAAATAGTTTCAAACTAAAGGAGGGGAAATTTAGATTTGATACAAAGAAAGAGGGTTTTCTTTTTTTTCTTTTTTTACAGTAAGGATGATAAGGCAATGGGACAGGTTGCTCATAGAGGTGGTGGATGCCCCATCCCTAAAGACATTCAAGATCAGGCTGGACAGGGCTCTATGCAACCTGATCTAGCTACAGATGTACCCATTCACTGGGGGGGAGTTGGACTATAACACCTTTAAATGTCCCTTCCAACTCAGGTAAATAGCCACCATCACCCAGTACCTAACAGATTTAGCGCATGATTGCAGAGAGATTGTGCCTCTTGGTGTGAAGAGAAGCCTGAACAAACTGGGAAATGCTGAGGAATTAACAGAGATTGTGATCTGCATAGGTACCGCTACAAGTAAGGGCAGGAGAGAGAGTCTGCAGGCAGGATGTAGGATGCCAAGTGGAAAGTCAAAGACCAGAACACCCCTAACAGCCAGTAGGAAAGCAGTCTCAGTGCATGGTTAAAGCAACAGAATAAGAAAGAGAGGTGCAGAATCATCAGGGACTGGGGAAGCTTAGGGGGTAGACAGATGATTAAGAAAACAACACCTGTACATCCTAACAGGAATAGCATACAAGCATTACAAATTGACTAGCAGAAAGCATTTTGATGCACAGAGGATACACTGCTCCGAACGCTATGGTACATACTGCATCTTCAAGTAAAGAATACATCATGTTGACAAAAAAAAGTAAAGAGAAGTTAAAAAAGAATGTCCATTGTGAACAGGATGCAGAGACAGAAAGCCAAAGCAATGCTTCCCATGTTTAACAGAATTATCTGAGAAAACAGTGGTATCACAGGCCCAGAATACTTTACCTTAAACAAGGACATGAACAGATACATAGGTGGCCTAAAGGAAATGTGGTGGCAGGAGAACAAGGAAGATGGCAGAGAACAATCATTTCAGTTACTTTCAAATAAAATCTAAAATCCTTACTCTGAGCAGTCAGGTAATATTAGATTTCTGCACGCTGTGAGGAAACTCACAAGATGGGAAGAAATTTTATGTACCAGTCAGGTCTGAACCAAGAGTTGCTTTATAGTATTTCTACCATGTACCTGAACAGTATCAGCGTTTAAGTCAACACTTCTACAGTGAGACCAAAGCCAGAAGACCAGCTACTGCCATGCTCAATTTTAAAGACAGCAACCATATACATTCAGAAAAATCAATGCACCTAAAAGATGAACCTAAAAAGAACTGCATGTTCTCTGGAGACACACAAACTATTTCAAGACATCACATTAGAATAAACACATCCTGCTTGTCAAATAAAAAAGCCTTCAGAAATCTCGAAGGCATACATAAGGAAAAAAACCTAACACCGGGGAACAAAAAAGCATATCCCAGAACAGGTGGAAAAAATTAAAAGTTATACATTTAGGCATATAAATTGCACAAACACAGCCAGGTAGTAGGGGCATGTCAGAAACAACTAGATGATTTGTCTTAGAAACAAATTATCAGTAGAAGAGAGTGCAGTAAAAAGCTAACAGCAAGAAGATAGCTTTTGAGAACAGGTAATATTCCACCTGGTAAAGGATGAACAAACTAGACTAGCTGACGGTATGCAGCCTCTCACTCATTACCACTTTACTGCCAGACGACTGGGGAAAATTGGAAAAAAAATCCACAAAAAAAAAACCCAAACACTTTTGACAGTGTAGTTAAGATCCACAAGAAGAGCTAAATTATTACAAGCAACTAAATAATAAAAATAACAAGTATTCCCATCAATGTGTTATATGGGGTAGAACCATAATAGATTTTGCGGAGCCAAGTTCTGCTTTGAAAACATACATCAATTAGTGAGTAAGCCAGTGAATAAGACAGATCTGACTCAAAGTATCTTACAAAGGGCTTGTTAAAAGACTTAAGCTGCCATGAGCTACAAAGGCAACAGATACAAAAACAAGTTAAAATAGAGGAAAGAGACAAAAATGATAATGATTTTTGGTGAAGCCAAGTCACATTTCACAGGAATCTCTTCTATTTATTGTATCCATAAATAGTATGGAAAAAAGAAATAAGTAATAATCACCTGCCAAGAAAACAGACTACTTCATTCACAACAATCCTAAATTCATATTAGGACAGAAAACTTGTGAGAAGATACCTGCATTTACAAAGATTCCACTACTTTTGTTTGGACCCCAGTTCTCTCTTCAAGAAGTCAAGGTCCAAAACTACAGCCTTCTCTAGCTTCACCACGGCCACAGACCATTCAAACCAGATCATCTTGCTCATGTCAGGTCTCCAAAGAAGGCAAATTCTGAACACAAGAACAAGAGTAACTCTCAATTACAGTAACTCCAGGAACAGAAGCTGGAAGAAACGTTACACAAAGCTAGATTATTTAGTTTTTCTTAAAACATCTCTAAATAGAGACTCTATGACAGTAAAGCATATATATTACTTAAACCTAATTCTGCTATTGAGGATTAAAATTCTTGAAGGAGTAAATATGCAGCTGACACCCAGAACAGGTTCACAGCTTCAGCCCTCATGTGGAGATACCTTCCATAGGCACCAAAGTTTCCTATGTGGTTCACAGAGAGCTGAATTTCCCAGAAGGGTCTCAGTACTCCACCTGTTTCATAAGTGCTCTGGTATCCTTAGCATCACTTAAAAGAGATGAAACATCCCACAACTTTAATCTCAGTCTTTGCACAAAGGAGACAAGAAGAAAGCCATGACCAAAGCTAAATCCTGTATCAACCTTTGGAAAGGTATTCATTAGATATAACTCCTCTTAGCATTTTTTTGATTGGTCAGTAGTAATACCAGCAGGATTAGGCCACTCTGTTACAGTGGTACCAGCACAAGCTACTGGATATGCCCTGTTCAACAGTGAACAGTCTAAATAGCTTGTGTACAAGCTGCAGATTGCTTACAGCAGAGAATACTGAACAAGCAAACTGAACCAATGGGCTTTGAGAAATCCTCAGTTAGATCTGTAAATTGCTACCAACAAAACTCAACTCACAAATATTAAAAGCAAATGTGGGAGAGATCCAAAGACAGGGACACATAAATTTTTATTTATTTAAGACTGATGACTCAACTTATTTTTTTCCACCCAAATCTTGTTTCACTTCCTGCTCTTTTAAAAACAAATTGTATAGATTCACCTAGGACTGAGTCAAGCTGCATTTACTTAATCTCTCACTTACGGCATTTAAAAAAAAATTCCTCTGCATTATCACGAAGTAATTTTCTGGTTGGAGACTCCTTCTCCCTTGTCAATCTCTTCCCTAATTGAGAAACACACATTATCATGAACTGCCCCGACTTGCAGAAAGCTGAAGAATTGTCTTAAACACTAAGCCATTAACAAGATCTTGCTATACTAATGTGTCATCGTATTTGTCACAAGGGTTGTTGAAGCTTTTCCCCATCGCGTTTGCCATGATTGTTCCCATTTTCTTCTTTGAATAAGACTGAGACATATACATGCCTATTGCTATAGTGTTTGGCCTCTCCTTGGGAAAATCTTTAACAGCAGAAAAGCAAAAACAATCATCCTTGTAATGAGTTGTCCAGGTAGAAATTAGTGCAGAATTAGAAACAGATATGCAGGCATCAGTCTACAGCTGATTCAAGTCATCATCATTTTGTTAACGCCCACTAGCTGAAGATTGCTGCCCATAACTGTAAGAGGGCAACTGAGGTACATGAAGTGGTGCACGTGCTTGGAAGACTAAAACACAAGGTTTGTTAAAGGCAAAGTAACAAGTGTAGAAAAGGAGAGCAAAGGGATTAAGAAAAAAAAAAAAAAAAATTACTCCCTATAATTTGTTTCTGGATTTAAGTTCATCTCTAGTGAATAAAAAAGGACTTAAAAAGATATTGTTTTCTGTTTAACATAATTTTTCTACTAGAAGACAAATGTAATTAACTTATTCCTATTTGGAAAGGATGAAATCAAGAACGTGCATGTCATGACAAAGTACCCACGTGTTGCTGTGAGTCTGTATGAAAAAAGAGACTGAAAGAAATAGAAAGGGTCATGACCTTGAGCACAGCTCAGGTTTCTGAAAAAGGAAAGTAAAGGCGATGGTAGAGAATAGAGCAGATGAGAATCTAGAAATATGGTAAAGCAGATCTTGGAACATTTATTCATTATGTTTGCCATGAATAGCAAGCATTTAAATTCAGAAAATTGGAGAAAAATATAAGAAATTGGTGTCATTCCCACACCCAGTTTTAGTGTCCATCAGCGGATGCCAGGTAAATTTGAGGCTCAGAGCAACAAATAGAAGTATATCAGTACTTGAACTGCTGGACATGCAATACAAGACCAGCGGACCCTGCATTCCCATGCATCCAGAACCCTTCCTGCCACACCAAGGGGAACGTCACAGTGCCACTAGTTGGATACCAGTGTCAGGAAATACAGAGCAAAGAGATCATGGGTCATTTTCTCACTCTTTTCCATCCTGCAGAGAGCTGCACTAGACTGCCACTTGTAAGAACACAGGACTGCGTATAAATGCATGCACAACTCAGTTCCATCTCTGGTACCTCACAGCTCATATATTCAGAGAGGACTTATTCTTAAAGACTAACGTGTCCCAGCAGTGAAGACTATCAACAACCATGCAAGATTTTTCTGGTAAGCCCGAGTCTCATCTCCTGCAGGAAACAGAGCAATGCACAGATCATGCTTAGGGTACTTTGTAACACTGACCACTGTAAGACAGACTGCTCCCCGTGACAGGGCAAACTATCTTCCTATAAAAAGCAGTTTTTAATGCAAACTTTGAGTCATTGTGCTTCAGAATTTTTATTAGCCATAACAGCATTTTAAGAAGTTCTTATAAAATAAAAAGACCAGTGACACCCTGGTGCCAGTACTTTCACATATTTACACAAATAAAACAGAAACATGGAATGCTTAGCTTAACAGAGCTGCAGTAAATGCATGGAAAATCTCTTTGTGCTGAGCAGGCAAGTGATCTCCGGATGTTCCACCCTTCCTGCTTGCTAAAACTGGGTAGGCCAGACTCTGATTTGGGTTGCTAAAAACATAAAAAGGCTGGCTTAGGGAACCAGGCTTACACCGCATTTGGGTGGGGAGACAGGATCAAACACTGCTGGTGACAGCTGAGTTTCTCAGGCTGTCTGCATAACTACAAACAGTTTGGGTACCTCCCTTATTTGTGGAGAAAAGACTTGGGTGGAAAGAGTCTCAATCTCTCTGAATCAGATCTACTAAGCACAGATACTGCCACATGGCATGAGCCTAATGACTCTGGTCAGTGCACTACAAGAGGAGAAGCTTGGCAGTGATAAACCAACTCTTGTATCACATTTAAGCAAAGATAAGTCAGCAAGATCATTTGAGTGTGTCTAGGAAAGTTTTGGGGCCTCAGTGAAACAGTACTCAGATATTTGCAAGGGATGCAGGGGCATCTGCTCTGAGCCAAGTGGGCATAAATCACCTCTCACTTGCTCACTCCAAGGGAGAAGAGCTAGACCCAGAGAACAGTTAAAGACCTGCTGCAGGGTCTGCTGCTGCAGTCATTAATCTACATTCTCTCATGGGTCAGTAAGCAAAACCAGTATGCACAGAACATGGACGCTGAAAAAAATAAATCAAAATTCAAATTGTTAAAAAAAATCAAATAAATACAATAGTTTTCAATGTAATGAAGTATAAGATCAAATACTTGTTGATTCAACAAGAACTCATAACAAATGCTCATTCACTGGAAAATGAGAAATGCTTAACCATCTCACAGACAATTCAGAAATGGCTTGAAGCCAGAACTGTGATTCAACCATAAAAAAATGGAAAGTGCAAACCTAGTAAATACTACAAATGATCTTCTGAAAGTCAAAGTGGTACATAGTGCACAGCAATGGACTCACCTGGAACACAAAATTCTACTGCCACAGATGAACTACAGAATTACACTCAGATCAGAAAGAGGGCTGCCAAAAGAATTAAAGCAACAGAAAGCTATTCTTATGAGAGGAAGGATGAAGATTAACAACAAAAAAGGCAGGACAGATTGAAGTCCACTTTAAAAGCATATGCAGATAAGAGAATCAAAATCCTTAACTGCTTTCCTGCTACAAGGCTTGACAAAAATTAGCAGCTCCTACAGTGTTGTAAAAGTCTAAGCTACGCAGTGGAACAGCCATAAGAAGGCCAATGAGGTACTGGGATGCATTGAGGGGAAAAAAAAAAAAAAAGAAAGAAAAAAAAAAAAGGGTGGCCAGCAGGTCAAGGGAAGTAATTAGTCTTCTCTACTCTGCCCTGGTGAGACCACATCTTCAGTACCGTGTTCAGCGTTGGGCTTTCCAGTTCAAGAAATAGAATAGTTCAAGAAATTCTAGAAAGAGGTCAGTGGAGGGCCACAGAGAGGACTGGGGCCTGGAGCATGACGCTTATAAATAAAGACAAGCTGAGACACCTGGGGCTGTTCAGCTTGGAGAAGGATGGGGGAAATCTTATCAAGGCCTATAAATACCTAAAAGGCAGAAGGATGGGGCCAGGCTCTTTTCAGTGGTGCCCACTGACAGGACAAGGAGATCAGGCATAAATGGGAACACGAGAAATTCTATCTGAATGTGATAAAAAAAAAAATCGTAGCTTTGAGGGTTACAGAGCATTGGAACAGGCTACCCTGCTGGAGTAGAGAGGTTGTGAAGTTTTCTTCTCTAGAGATATTCAAAACCCACTGGGACACTTCCTTGTGCAACCTACTGCAGGATACCTGCTGTAGCCAAGGGGCTGAACTAGATGATCTCCAAAAATCCCTCTACAACCCCTATTTCTGTAACCATTAAGTCCTATTTTGTGTGGCATTACTTACTTACTTGTGGAATTCAGAAAGATGCAAGTCTTCCATGGCCGGGAAAAAAACCCACTGGTATGAGGGTATTAGAAAAAAGAGAGTTTCTTACTGATTCACATGGATGAGAGCTCATCTTTAGGCAGTCAGCTTCTAATTATATATACAAACTTCCAGCACATGGCTAGTAGCTTGAAGACACAGGGCAAAAAAAAAAAAGTCACATCACATAAGCTCATCTCAACTCATGCTGCAGTTTTAATTGCTGGGCCAGAGTATAGTCTCTGAGCTTCGATAGTCTAACCAGTATGATCTCAGAGACAAAAGCAGACACAAAGGATGGCTTTTTTACCTTCTGTTAATAGGGTGCCTCTCTCCAGACAGCTGGCTTCCCTGCAGGATGGCACACAGAACAAGTCAGTTTGGCTGCAACACAGGCTCACACCCCACCTCGCAGTCAACTGATCAACAGGAACATTTTAGACACAGCGCTACAGTCTCAATGCAAGGGATTTACCAGGGTCAGTACTCAGTTCCTTCAAAAGTATTTTTGAACACATTATAGAAGAGGTAAGTTGTAAGAACAAGTTTTACAAGACAGGTTCAAGCCATAAGCATTTGCGACTTGCTAACAAATGAAAAATTTCTCCCTCCACGTTGGATGATTCTTAGAAATACTAAATGACAGTCAAAGCTTTAAAGTATTCAATCCAAAGTTCATCTAACAGGTGTTAGCCCTTGCAGAGTACAAGTCTAGAAATCCACATGATTTTTTATGCAAGAAGTCCATAGGACATGCAAACTGACTCAGTCCACAGAAACACTTTGCAACAACCTTGACTGCCTCTTACAAGGATTTGGCTTGGCATGCACCAGACCTCATTCACTGTAGTCAGTGTTTTAGTCCATATGTTCAAAAACTTTCCCAGGACAAACCCTTGGGAAAGGTTTGGCAACCCTAAGCCTTTGCGTTGGAATTTAAGAATATGTTAAAGATTTTCAGCCATCTAGGAATCAGCAAGATGTGGTTTATAGAGGGGAAAAAAAAAAAAGTCTTCAAATAAAATTAGCCACTAATTACAAGTATGGCTTCAAAGATGTCTTAGCTCAAATCGTATCTGACACCAGCAAGATCAGTGCAAATCCTAATGTTCTTGAAAAGGCAAAATGGAATTTCCAACATCTCTAGCCAGGAAGGGAGGCAAAAACCCTTCGTTAGCCACTCTTAAAATACTGACATGATCATGGTAAAATTATCAGAAGTATACTCAAAAGCTTTTGCCTAGCATTTCAGTACACATTTCTATTTATCTGCATGAACAATTCCAGTGGTCTTTGAAAGAAACAGCCAAGCCAGTCCCGTATCAAGTAACTTTGAAAGTCCTACGTTTGAACATGCCAGCTAATCTTTCAAAGACTGCTTATCTTTACCCCATACACTGACAAGTGTCACAAGGTGATCCTAAAAGAAACTGAGGCTAGGAAGAAAGAATGGCAAGTAGTCAACACACATTAGTGAGCTACCAGTTACGTACTATACTGTATTAGCTAGCAAACTGCAGAATAATTTGAGCTTACTTCCAGTTGATTTGTAATCACATGTTAAGCAAATATAATTTTTGCTTTGACTGCATGCCTGCTTCTATCCCATCACAGCTCAACATGACTCAGTTGAACTGTACTGTATTGAGCAAAAAGGATCCAAAGGTGATCTCTTTTCCCAGCACACTCAATAATTCTTGCTGTAGCACCAAGGTGTGGCACCTTTGTAGCATTATCAGTATTTCACTCTCATCCCCTTTCTTTCTGTTGGAAAAAAAAGTACACAAAAATCAGAAAGTAACCTAGGAAACATGTTAACCATGCACATTTTCCTACCCCTGCTCCCCTCCAGCGCCTTTATCTTAATGGTCATCCTCACCAATAGCCTCAGGACTAGTTTTCCTAAATTGTATGTAACTTCTCATAATTGATGCTGGAAAGAGGTGGAGCAGCTGTTGTAACAGCAAGAGGCCATCTGTCACTAGCCACGAGATTTGAGATAAAAACCAACGGGTAGAATTCTCCCAGACAAACTACCAAAGGCTGACAAAAATCTACACTCTTCTATTTTAAAACAATTTGTCTTGTCACTACATAACCTTATACAAGTCCTTCCCCAACTTTCTTGTAGGCCCCTACAAGTCCTAGAATAAGGTTTTCTTTGAGCCTTCTCTTCTCCAGGCTGAAGAGCCCCAGATCTTAGAATCATAGAATCACCAAGGTTGGAAAAGACCTAAAAGATCACCCAGTCCAACCGTTCACCTATTCCCAATAGCTCCCACTAAACCATGTCCCTCAACACAACATCCAGCCTTTCCTTGAACACCCCCAGGGTCGGTGTCTTCACTGCCTGTGGAGTCACACACAGATCCCTCAAGCCTGTGCTCAAAAGGGAGATGCTCCAGCCTTCTGATCATCTTCAAGGCCCTCCTCCAGACCTGCTCCAACAACTCCATGTCCTTCCTGTGCTGGGGGCTTCCAGGTGGGGCTTTCAACTGTAACAATTGCCAATAACATGGAAAACATTTGTTTGCAGAATGAAGACATTTATAGCACTTCAAGAGAAGTGTCGTTGCATTTTATTACAGTAGAGAACTTCTTTTGCTTTTTGTTTTCACAAAGCTTGGAGATTTAGTTCATCAGGAAGTTCAAAGACACCCACCCTTGTCTTCAACTGTTGTTTCCTGACAAAGGAAATGATCATAGCCCTGCACTCAGCACTGGTGAGGCCACACCTCAAGGACCACGCTCAGTTTTGGGCTCTTCACTACAAGAAAGACATTGAGGCCCTGGAGTGCGTCCAGAGAAGGTCAACAAAGCTTTTAAGAATCTGGAGCACAAGACATATGGTGAGCAGCTGAGGGAACTGGGCTTGTTCAGTCTGGAAGAGGCTCAGGGAAGACCTTATCACTCTCTACATCCTCCTGAAAGGAAACTAGAGCAATCTAACAGTCAATCACTTCTTCCAGGTAAGTAACAAGAGGTAATGGCCTCAAGTTATGCCAGGGGAAGTTCAGGTTGGATATTTGGAGAATAAGTTTTTCCTAAAGAGTGGTGACACATTCATTGGAACATGCCGCCCAGGGGAGTCACTGTCCCTGAAAGTGTTTAAGAAACATGGAGATATGGCACTGAGGGACATAATTAGTGGGCATGGTGGGGATGGATTGATTGTTGGACTAGATAATGTCCAAATTCTCTAGTGCTTAACCAGCCACGCAGTCTTCCTATTTCCTTCAAGAGCCACCCTTGTCTCACTCGAGTTACCACCAGTAATTCCTGCCACACCCTTATGAAGTAACCAAGGATGTCCATGACCATCTTTCGCACTGGTCTCCTGTAACAAGGAGACTCAAGGAGACTTTCAGACAGTTTTGAAACACCAGTCAACCTTCGATTCCCTCTGGAAAAAAAAAAAAAAAAAAAAAAAAGAAGCAACAACAACAGTGTTGGAAGCAGCCCCCAAATTATCCATATGAACACTTTACCAAACATCTGACTGTGACTGTACAGATGCACCACGTATTCACGGCAGGCTGAACTTTCCTCTAAGCAGTTACTTCAGTCTAAACTAAACACAAGCCTAAAACACATTACATCAGCTCAAGCTGCCTAAGAGAAGTAGATACTTGCGGCACTTAATGTTAATAGCTCAGTTTATTTCTTCCAGCTCTCAGGCAGCTCTGACAGCCTCTACTAAGCTTAAGCTGGTCAGAGATCCTTCAGGATGCAGCTTAGTAAATTTAATGCTACATACATGTTGTGTTCCACACATCAGATTCTGTGAGATACATTAGAGTGAGCACACTGGATAAATTCCCAGCATCTCCCAGCAGTCTTAACTGTTAAATGAGTTAAATATCTAGAACAAAACACTAATTTGTTTCAAGTTCCCATGCTAAAGGACTGGAATGAGTTTATTCTTAACAAAAAACAGACTTCAGAAATAAAGGAGAAAGAACATGGGAAGGAAGGCTATTAAGACAATACCCTTCAAGAAGTTAGAGATGTATTCATGTACAGATGATAGAGAACAAACTCTGGTCTATCAAATGGAAACAACAAAGGCTCAGGTAAAGTGCCAAAGAAATAAAATAGATAATCAAGATAAAACAAGTAATGTACCTTCTACCAGCATGTCAGAACAGAAAGCCAACTGGATCTACAAATAAGTCTACTGAAGTATTAACGGGAAATACAACCAGAACAAAAACTTAAGGAAGTTTTTCATGCCAGCTTGGAGGAGGTTTAATACTCTGGAACATTCATTACTGTCAGACAACATTCACACAAAGAGAATTTCTTCAAAGGGGATCAACAGGGAGGAGAGAACACAAGCTTCCTCTCCTGAAGACTGAAGCTTGAGAGGCAGCTAGGAGGAAAAATTGCCAGATTAAAACTTCAGCTACTTTTAGCATAAAGCCAGTAAATCAAACAGAGACGATTAGACATGGTAATAACACAGGAGCAGGAATGAGACAAGCATCAAAATTCCTGCCAGTGTTCTTGGCTAAATTCATAGAGGAAGAAGATGGAAAAAAAACTAAAGGCCTGGAAACCTCATGACTTCACCTACTAAGTTAGTAAGTGATCAAACATGCCTCCAAACAAATCAGGGACCATGGAGGGTGATAGTTTTAATCAGTTTGTATTATCTGTCAAGCATCCACAGAACGAGCTGGACCTTACTCTTCCATCTAGAAGCAACTTCTCTCAGATTTTCTTAAGATGGAGTGACATACATGCAGTTATCACACTGAGGAGAATTTGGGAGGAAAGCCATACTCATTCTAGTAGGATGGATCTAGACAAATCTATGGCATGTGGCTTTTCCCAAGACCACTGATGAGGCTGGTTTAGCCAATGGCAGCACATGCAGCTACATACTAGCTATGTCCAGAGTAGGGCTGGGATTCCCATCGGACATCAGTCAGAATATGGTCAGCTTGACAAAAGTGCTAATTTTAAATGTGGTCAAAAATCTTACTCCTAGCATCATTGAGAAGAGCCACTAATGACTAAAGGATTATTCCCATCATTTGTATTTTCAATTTGTGCCCCAAAAAGAACAGAGAATACAAAAACTCACTGTATCACTCACTAGCTGTGTTGAAAAAGTCAAACCAAATTTCCTGTTTATGTACTTTAATCTTTTCTAGAGGGCAATTACAGAGCTGCAGTGTGACAGAAGCACTCTCTCTAGCTTTAAATGACAGAACTGCTTAGATAAACTTACTTCACACATATTCCTTTTTAGATAAAAGAGCATGCAAGAAAAATCAGTCACAAAGATCCAGATAGCAAGCAACTGAATGTAGACATTTACAACACAAAATTGTAAAATGTTTTATTTAAAATACAAAAAAACCCCTCATTTTTATCCATGAATGATATAGATAATAAATATTAATTACAAAGTGGTTTAAGTTCCAGCATTTCGAAAGGTATAGAATTATGCCCATGCTAATTTTATTGAATTCAGAAGTAATGAGTTTACAGTGGACTTTACTGTACTATACAGTTTCTACCACCCCATAGGATATGAAGACAACAAACAACTTTTTAGTGTTGAAGAAATAAGGCGGTTGACTATCCAGCTTTAAATAACAGGATAGTTCTGGGCTGACATCCTGGGCTAACAGGAGAGAATTTGCTTCAGGCTGCAATGACACTGCAGAAACTCTCATTTAAGATGTTTCAAATGGATCAGCAAGCAAAACATGAGAAAGAATCTCCCAAGGAATGACACAGTCCCCTACACAACAGAATTAGGTCACTGAAAGACAAGCTACCATGCAAGATAAATTTGGATCATACAACTATTCTGTTCTGCCCAGCTTGCACTCAAATGACCATTATGAGTTACAGAGAAGTGAAAAAACAAGCAACAAGTATATCCTTATAGTTTTTCCCACAGCACTACTTCAGAAGTGACTTGATCACTGAATAGCATGCATTTCTAGTATTGCCCTTTCAGTTTAGAACTAGAAGCAAGGTAGCAGATCTATTTATGGCTCTGCACCATAATATCCTGCATGGCATGGATGAAAAAATAAAATCACAGAATAGTTTCTTATGGGCAGGAGACTTAGGCAACCATGCTTTTTCTGTAAGTATCTTCAATAGGTTGAGCCTACCACAAAACGTTAATGAAAGGGAGATGACATTTACATCCTTCCAATAAGGCTGGAGTTTGAACTCAACTCTTCTAGATACCAGGGAATACTCACTCGTGAGTTCATAAACAGCATGTCCAACAGCCCAAACCAAAAGCCATCTACATGAAAATACACACTCAATGAGCCTGAGACTCATTGTGCACAGATGATACTATGCAAAAACAGCAAAAAAATGCCAACCTTGACTGCCTGTAAGCAGTGCTATCTATCTGACTACACAGAGAGCATGACCTAAGACAGGGATGGTAGGTGAGGTATTCCTTACCAGCTGCTAAAGCCTCTGATCCAAGAAAAAGTCCTTAACCTGTTAATCTACCAGTAACACCTAGCTTATAATTAGGATGAAAGCCAAGTCTGACTCTCCCATACAATAGCAGGAGAGAAGACCATCACAGTACACCATTCCTTGCCAGCAGATTCTCAAGAAGCCAGCACCCCAGGCTAACTGAGGAAGCTGAGCACTAAGCCTGTGTGCTGTCTGCTGCCATCAGTGACAGGCTCCACTTGGAGAGATGGCTTCCCTAACTACATCTGCCTAGACATCCTGAGCTCTCCAGAAACTGACCAGGCTTTTAAACAACAAAGACAGTTTCTAATGAAATCTAAATTCACTTTTTCATCAGGAAAAAAAAGTCTGTGCAAAGCAATGTATCAATACAACATATTTATTGACTGGTCTCTTCTAAGTGAGATCATCTCTCTTCCAGGTTTTAAGGTCATTCTAATGGGGTTCTGGATTACAGCAACCCTTTATAATCTCCTCCTAAGGAAGTTACACTTTCCATTCCTCTTTCTGTCATCAGCAGTCTGGCCATCTGCTGCCCAATTCCATAGCCTCTGTTCTCCCCTGGCATGCTCTCAGGACTCTGGAATCTTTTGCTACTTGTAAGGGAAGTAGAGAGTATGATCCAAGCATTAGGTTTCATGATCTTCTACTGTTTCCCTCTCTTTTAGGGAAACCAAACTCAATGTTTCCTAGGTTACCTCAATAGCATCCAACCCTTACATGTACAATTCAGTGCCATCCAGTTGGGAGTTTTTAATTAACTGCCCAAATTAATGTAGCTAGTTGTGATATTATCCGCTTGGTAATGGAGGAACTGAAATCATTTTTATTATTATAAAAATAATACTTATTTTTATAAAACTTATTATTATTATAAAAATCATAATTTTTACAAACAATCCATTAGCAATGCTAGGTGACTCAGACATAGAATAAGGCCCATGCTCTCTCTCACAAAAGGACAGCTGAGAACCAAGGAGTCACCAAAAGCTAAGAATACCTCTTGGGGAGGGACAGCCATCACCCAGCCTTCCAAGATGAGGTGACAACACCGATCAGCAAGCAACCCTGATCGTTTTTAGCCACCTCAATGCCACACTCTTCGTAAGACTCAAGACCATGATACAGCTACTTAAGCTGAACACAACTTGTTGTGGGCACATCTCAAAAATACAACCATTAGAAGCATAACAAGTGAAACTGACAGAAGTTGAACTGAGCAGCTTGGGCACTTATGAATTCTTTTGTGATGCTTTTGCCTTTAAGAAGAGCTTGACAAAAAAAATATCATTTAAGTAAAGAAGCCTAAATATTGAAGTAATCTAACATTCTCAAGCAAATACCTTTCTCTCCCAGTTGATTTTTGCAGTTTTTGTTAAGATACACTGCCAAGATTTTATCTAATATACCCACATACAAAGAAGCTTTCATATTCAAGGAGGCCATAATTATCAAATACACATAATTAATATATCAACTTCAGTACTCAGAGGAAGAACCTAGAACTAACGTGTTGTTACACGATGCAAGTTTAAAAAGAACCTCAAAAACAGCAGTTAGTAGGCTATAAAATAAAATGAGGCAATTAAAACAATTTAATTCATTGATGGTACTATTACCATAGAAGAGTACTTGGCTTGGTTGGGATGAGATTTATTTTCTTCATACAGCACCATGTTTTGGCTATGCTATCAAAACAGTACCCCATCAATATCAACAGTATTGATATAGCACTAATGTTTTAGATATTGCTGAGCTGCACTTGAACAGCATCAAGGCCTTCTGTGTCTCACTCTGCTCTTCCACTCCCTAAAGCAGGTAGGCTAAGGGTGGGCAAAAGGTTGGGAGGAATCACAGACAGGAGAGCAGACCCAGACCGATCAAAGGGACACTGCATGCCACACAATATGCTCTATGTAGAAGGCTATGGCTTTATTGAAATGTTTGTTGCTCAGAGACCGGCCAGGAATCCCCCTACTTGTAGAAGGTAGTAAAATGATAGCCTTTGTATTGTTTGCCTCATTTTCTCCTTTCCTTCATTTATACTGTCTCAATCCATGAGTTTTTCTTGCTTTTTCTCTCTCAGTTATTCTTTTCTTCTGCTGCAGGGAGAGTTTCATCACGACCCACAAGTTTTGCTCATTTCTCTTCCAATCCTCTCACTCATCCCACTGTGGATGGAGCAAGCAAGCACCTGGTGTGAGCTTAGCTGCTGGACAGATTCATCTCCCCCCACAAGACAAATGTTACCCCCTGACAAAGCAAGGTACTGGTGATCATACAGGTCAACTTAGAAATAAGTTTAAGAGTATTTATGGTATAGGAATAACTACAGTGAATTGAAAATTTCTTATAATAGGGATTTCAAACAAAACATAAAAAGCACTTAGCTCTACCACTACATCAAAATCCAGCTAGCTGAAAGCTTCCTAAACTACCAGGACAAGTATAAAGCAAATAAACCCAGTGCAACAAGCTTACAAATCTTTGCATCTGTTCAGACTTTATGACATTAAGAACAGAAGATCCTCAGAATTGTATTAATTGTTTCTAGAAAAATGCAAAGTACTCCTGAAGAAAGAAGCCAAATCTCAAAGTGCCACAAAAAACCCAAACTCATGCAGGTCCCATAGCACATATTGAGGTACCCAAGAACTACAGAAATACTCTAAAACAAGAAACATTAAATCCTGTCAGAAACAAGTAGACTAATTGAGCTTGTGTCCCAACAGTGCTAACAAATTCAAAGTATACACTGTAGATTACATTAGACCTACGTATGACTCATCTAAATAATTGCCTAGCAAGCTGTGCCTGAAAAAAAAAAACAAAAAAAAAAACACCTCAGCATTCGAGAATTTCTACACCCAGGTCAGAGAAGGTGAGCTGTATTACATTGATTTACTTTGCTGCAGAGCTTGTCAGTGTCTTGCAAAGCCAAGGTGGCAACGGAAGAGCAAATGGGACATATTACAATTCACAGTACAACTGGAATGAGTTGACAAAGCAGCTTAGTCCAAAAAGTGAGGATGAGAGAAAAAGACCAGCACTTTTTAAATTGCATCAATAGAGAGCTGTAAAAAGATGTATGACTGGTGGGTGCTCTGAGAAAGCTACTGAAACAGATTTTTGGAACTTTCTTGGAATGAATCTCCATTGCCTGAATTTCATATCTTTCCTACTGCACTTCAGTACCACCTCCACAATACCTCCTTCTCTGGTATGAGCCTTGTTAGGGCCCAAGTAGTCCCATTAGGCTCTTCCCCCTGGAAGGTGTACCCCCACCCTGAAAATCAGTGCTTTTCAGCAAGGCTTCCCATAGGAAGCCTTGCTACACAACTGCCCACAATGATTTCCATCATCAGGACTCAGCCACTAAGTGGTAGCTCACACTGTCCAGCTCAGACTCCTTCAGCTGCACACCGCATAAGGAGAGAAGATGATGACCATGGTACTCTGGTTCAACACATTATTTAAAATATTAGTTTTAATATTCTAGAGGAATACATCTACAGGTTGATGTGTTGTCTCAAATAAGAGAGACCTTCTTAATACCAATTCATGGACAGTTTCCCAAGAATGATAAACAATTTCTTAGTTTCACCTCTGCCAACACTATGTGAAGTGAGTTTCCATCAACATTTCAAACACAAATCTGCCAAATACTTCAATTCTGGTATCAAGCCCAGAGAGCAACATTTTCCTACCATCATTCTACCACTTCAGCTACTGAAGTGGAATGACTGTCTGGTAAGTTCAGCTTTATTTCTTTAACAGATATTGCAAGGTAAAACACTAAATATCAACTCTAAACATTCTAAAACTTGAAGGCAATGAAATACGCACCATCATGTTACTTAAGCACTTAAAATAGTCCAGCCTGTTCTTCCATGTTTTAATTGCTGATATTCTAGAGCTTCTATAAATAAACAATCAGGAGTAGTCAAATATAGCTGATCACACCTGTGGTGGGGAACTAATCAGATCACCCATCCTTTCAGCCCTAGTGTGTACAGCTCTACTATTCATCTACGAAACCCCATAGCTTCACTACTAACTCAAGATATTAAGTATCCATTGAAGATTACACTGATAAGAGCTTGATAAGCAAACTTGCACAGAAGAAAAAGATACATCAGTTGAAACAGGACACAGAGCAAGTTTTCCAATTAAACATCAATATTTAATTGGCCCTCAAAACTGAAAAGTACTGTGGTTTAAAAAGAGGGTGTGACATGAGATAACAGCAGTGATTCACCTGGAAGACAAGGAATACAAAAGCAAGAGACGAGCTAAAACCTGCACTGCAATGAGAATACACGGCATCATAGCCTTAACAACTCCTCTCGTGCTGGAAGGAAAGGTTAAGAACAGGGCAATGTGGTTTTCATTGGAACAAATCATGGGAAAAACTATATCCATCACAGAACCCACCACAAATGGCCATTACCAGTTAATTTACTGATGACGCACACTACAGCCATTCACAAATACAGTAAGACAGTGTAAATCAGAACAGCTTTAATAATTTGAACTGACACATTTATTCTCACCAGGGCCGGACCACAGAGACTGCAGAGGTATGGAGGAACAGTATTGGTAACAAAGGAATTTCCTGCCACTGTAGAATGTCTCAAATCTCAACTCAACTAACTTCTGTTACCCACATGCACAGAATGAGATACTAAAAGTTTACGTAACTGCTGTCTATCAGCTTTTTAAGTAGTGCCCTTCTTTCACCAACAGCACAGCACTTCGTTCCATTCTGCTGGGGCTCATGTTTTGGTGGTCAAAAAATGAATACATTATAACTTCTATGCCCAAATACATGCACAAAAACTTCTTACTTCCTGCCCTTCAATTTCTCTCAGATATTGTCTCTTGCAGTCCAGAGCAGAAGAGGAGGTGACATGGAAGAAAAGAGGCTACTGCCCCTGTTGAGAAGAAGGAAGACCTTTATGCACACACCTTGTTCAACACCTGAAGTTCCACTAAACAGATGGGAAACTGGGTTTCATTTTGGTTAGGCTTGCCAGAGACCTACTTAATAGCAAAATCTCTACAACCTTGCCACACACAAACTTCATTTTCTAAATGTGACTTCTCAGCAACTTTATCACAATGACTATATGAAGCTTTAAATCAGACTTCCAACCCTGAACAGCTCTTCAGAGCCAGAAACATCAGCATGCAGAAGCCCTCACTGCATTCAACTCCAACAGCAAGCGCTCAGCTTTCTGGAGAAGGTGACACTTAGTCTTGCACCTAATCAGCACACAGTGCTATCTTCCTTTAAAATCTAGTCTGAAAATCTGTCCAGAAAGGAGAACTCTATTTTTTTTTTTCCTTAGACAGGGCAGAAGAGTGGAAAATAAACTGGCACAAGACAATTAAGCTTGACATATCTTCTCCCCATTATATGTTATTGAAAGATATCTGTCATGTACAATTTTGAATTGTACTGCTGCCAATGGGTGTGAATACTTTTGTAGAGCACTTGGATACTATTTTTGCGACCAAAAAAAATTCCTTGGTTACCACAAGGATGCCACTTATCTATTTCAGTCTAAGTTAAGGTAGGGCTATCTAACTAATGATAGGGTTATCACAGTACCATGAAGACATCTGGACTTGTCAAGCCTGTTCTTTAATCCTTTGTCTAAATGGGCTAGACAGTTTGTACCACACAAAATAATTGTTCATACTCTTACAGTAAGTTAACAATTGAGAGCTGTACTTCTGTATTTCTCAGCAATTATAAACCATGGCAGACTGAGGGGAGCAAGAAGGGAGTACCAAAAAACACTCCTCACCTCTTTGGTGCAGCACAGTATATACACACAGGGCTCCTACTACAGAGCTTATAGGCAGTAAAAAAAGCTAACTGTAACATGATTCAGCAAGGAGCAAAAGGACATGTTTAATTTCAAGTATCTCATTAGGAACTCACGGCCTCCATAATACTTGTTCAAGAGCTCTAATAGTTCTGTAAATACCCTGCTGAACTCAGGCCAATGCAAATGTATTTCTCAGATGTGATTATGACACCTCAGGGATGACCTTAAATGCAGTCTTACATCTTTCTCCTGCTCCTTGGGGAAACAGCAAAAGAAGCATTAACTTACCACTTATAAATACCACCCACAACAAACCCTGCTATCTCCAGGTCTAGCTAGGTCGAGAAACACTTGCATACTAGTGATCTAGAGCGAGCCCTGGATTTTCTTTCCTCTGAGCATAATCACTATGGATCACATTCCAGCCACAAAGCAATTCAGAATGGTCTTGCATCAAAGTGCGCACCAAACGTGACATGCTGCCACCTCCTGACTCAGTAGGAGATCGACCTAAAAGTTTGCAAAGACATACCAGGTAACAGCTGGACTCAGTGCAGGATACACTCAGCGCCGCTGAAACAGGACAGTCCTCTTCATGTCTATTCGGCTCCTTGAAAAGTCATCCTGAAAAACATAGTTTTCTTTCAGATCAGCGATTTGTATCAGGTCAGAAAAGACTCCATAAGAACCGAGGACAGCACAGCAGAACAAAAGGAATGGAGAGATAAAAAGAAAGGGTCTCTCCACATCAGAAAAACATTGAATGTCCTCAGCTGTATGCAAGGTCTGATTATTTCAAGTGGAAGTGCTCAAACAAGGGAAAACTGCAGCAAAGGCAATGAAATGGAGATTTTTCAAATATCAACAACAGAACAAAAACACAGAAGAGAATTACCAACACAATTAGCTTACACCTATGACTTGCATGTCATGGAAACTAATTATTCAATTCTCTAGTGGTACTGTCTTGCAACGAAGCACTTCCAAAAGCATTTGTTGGGTGAATTTATTTAGAAAGAAGTTAACCTTCCTTTAAAATCCAGTGCAAGAATCACTTTCACTACGACTGGCCTGAAAATTTCATTATCAGAGGGCAGATATAAAAGAGAAAGAAGAGAATGGAAGAGGAGGTGAAGAAAACACACAGAACAAGCAACAAACACACAAATATCAACAATAATTGGGAAAAGCAGACAGATATCTTGGGAGATAGGAAAACAACTTGGCTTCCAAGAACTCTTAATTTCTCTACTCCTTATAACTCCAGTACCATGCTGTCACCAACCCCTCCACACACACCTCTCCCCCCCCCCCCCCCCCCAAAGTCTTTTATCATTACCTTACTAATTAAATTTTTGGAATAGTATTTTCAGGGAGTTTCCTGTTTACACTGTAATAACACAATCAATAAACTCAGTTATTGGATGTGCTTAAACTTGGCATACACTCAGTCCAGAGTACAGCAATTATAACCAGGAAGCACGCTACTGTCAGTGCACTCAGGCCGAGGAACAAAAGGCACACAAACCACATTTCTGCAGTTCCTGCAGTCTACTTAAGGTTCAAACCAGAAATCAAACCAAATACGAACAACAATTCACTACCCATGCCAACAAGTATTTTCCAGCGCTCTCTGAAGTTTTCTTTCAGAAAATCCACATCTTCCTTTCAATAGGAAACATATTCCATGGGCTGACACAGTCAAAATTATGTCAAGCATCACAAAGTAAACCTAGAAAGGATTTTTGGCATAACCAGATTAGAGTATGGTAGAGAAAAGTGGTTATAACCTACCCCTTATTCTGCAGGATTCTAGGTAAAGGACAAGGATTAACAGTCACACAATCTGAAAGTTTGTGAGCCTTTATGAGAATTGCAGACATGGTGACATTATCCAAACGCACAGGCAGATCAGCAGAATACACGAATACCATAATTCAGCTACATGAATGGCTCTCTGCTGATCTGCATCACACCCGTACAAATGTGCCTTTTGTGACAAGGAACAGCGTTAAATCTTGTCCTGCAATCTGGAAGAGAAATTCTGAATCAATGGATTTTTTTCATCTTAATCCAACTCAGATCAATTAACCTACCTTATAAAGGTGGTATTCCATCATCTCAGTTCTGTACAGTGCCCTGACCACCTCACAAGCTGCCTAGTAAGGTAATCAAAGCACAGGTACTATTTTCACCTACATTATGCTAGGAAAGCATACACCAATCATAAATTTCTTTAAAAGACAACGTGGCTTGATAGAGCACACTTGTTTCATACATAAGTGGAGATGTTTCAAGTTACACAAGCTACAACAAGCCTACAACCAAGTCATTTTCCAAAATCTACTTCTTGTACAGTCAGCAACAATTTCTGCTCAAGCCTCTCACCGACAGCAAAAGGCCTGCACACAAAAGCACACCTAGATCCACATCTGAGCTAGAACTTAGATTATTCTCAGTCACCACTGACACTCCTCACAAGCAGCCCGTCTTTAATGAACAATTTAAAGATATCCATCAACCACTACTTGCAAAAAGACAAGAACAGACTAATACAGAGGTTTTAGGAAAGCCATTTAAAGGGAGAACTTCCAGTCAGAGGGTCTCTCAATTCAGTTCTGAAGCACTCTCTGCAGACACTACGGGAATTCTACATTCCTTTTAGATCAGGTTTAGGCAATGCAATTAACTGTCCCTTAAACTAAAAGGCTGCGCACCAAATCTCTGGCACAGCGAGAGCTAAAAGGAATCCCACTACCAAGCTTAGAAGCCCTTTTTTCCTCCCATCTCCTTCTGGATTTGGTATATTGTAGCTGTGGATTTCCACATAGGTTACAAACTGTTTCACTGCATCAAGGAGCAGCTCTTACCATACAATTCTTGCACAAATGCCCATCAATAACAGAACTGCAAAACGGCTAAGGCTGGAAGGGATTTCTGGAGATAGTTAATCTTGCCCTCCCACGCAAAAGTGAGACTTAGAAGAAGTGATTTCAACCTCAAGTAAGGTTCCAGCTGCTGTCCTCATCAGTAGATTTTTACTTTTTCTAAACATACTACGTGAAGATACTAACTGTAATTTAACTTTGTGCCACACTATAGGGATGAAACCCAGCAAGAGGCTACACCTGGCTGTCAAGCATGGCCTTCTCCTAGGTCGCCTTAAAGCATCTGCAAGATTCAAAGAGAAGTATACTGCCATGAACTGCAGCTCCTTCTGAATAACTGTCCTTCCAGTTAACTCACATCAATGGCATCACCTAGTGGAAGGCACACAGCTTGACAGGCTTTTTGGTTGGTTCTCTCAAACTTCTTTCCAAAAATCTAACCTAAAGGAGGCAATAAATCAATATCACAAGGTAGCCACTGGTAAACAAAAAGGCAAGCATTGCTCAGGAATAACACAGGCTAAGTAAACCTGTTGTGTGCATTCCAGCTGCTGAATGGCACTCCAAAAGCTGCTTACCCAACTGAAGTGACAGGAACATATGCCTACCAAAATTGCTTTTCAGTCTATGATTGAAGAACAGAGGAGTTTAGTGTCAAAAAAACTTGGTAGGGTAAAATCCTGAATATATCAGGAAGCATAATTTCACAGAAAGGATAAACACTCACAGATGAGTAAATGTCAAAACAGTTCACCAAAGCAGCAACAGTCTTTACTCAGATAAGAAAGCCACTACAAAGTCAAAATGCATTTACCTTCCTATCTCCTGTAAGAATCACAGGAGTTTTCCCCCCCCCCTTCTTCACCTCATTCTAGTTTATAATAATTCACTGGAAAAGTATTACAGCTTTACAGTGATGTTTTCATCCTCCTTTTGGGCTTTGCTATGATACCTTCGAAACAAGTAGGATGATACTGACAAGCAACACTCACATTTTTTACTCTAACCTTCATCACTAGAATGGAAACATGCTCCCTCACAACATTCTAGGTCAGCTAACCAAAGGGTGTTGGGCTGACCAGATGTTTGTTACCAAAGCCCCACTCTGTAAGGGCAAGCACACACATCAAAAATCCCAAGCAAGGCATCCTGAAACTACACTGCTCTTGTAGGAGGAAGTCATGGCAGCAAGAAGACTGCTGCATCCATCAGATGACACTAGCAAAAACCTACAGTCTGAGAAGAAGAATTGCCAGTGTATAGCAGCTGTCACCACATAGCACAACCTTTCCCAAGGAGCAGAATAGTCTGGTAGAACTTCTGTAACATGAACAAGATAGCTAATAAATACATAATCTAATAAAATACTCAGGTGCCTCCATCACCTCACAAGCTACCAAGAAAGTGAAATTCAGGCACTAACTGTTTTCACTCACTGGTTAGGAAAACACACACCAATCCTAAGTTTTTTTAAAAGACAACACAGCTTGATAAAACATGTTTATTCTATACATAGAATCACAGAATGGCCTGGGTTGAAAAGGACTACAATGATAATCTGGTTTCAACATCCCTGCTATGTGCAGGGTTGCCAACCACCAGACCAGACGGCTTAGAGCCACATCCAGCCTGGCCTTGAATGCCTCCAGGGATGGGGTATCCACAACTTCCTTGGGCAACCTGTCCCAGTGTGTCATCACTTTCTGTGCGAAAAACTTACTCCTAATACCTAACCAGAACCTCCCCTGTCTCTTAAAACCATTAAGAAACCAAGCTTAAAATCATTCCCCCTTGTCCTATAACTACCCACTCTCATAAACAGCCGCACCCCCTTCTGTTTATACGCTCCTTTCAAGTACTGAAAGATGATTATGAGGTCTCCCCTCCCTGGAGCCATCTCTTCTCTAACCTAAACAAGCCCAGTTCCCTCAACCTTTCCTCATAGGAAAGGTGCTCCAGCCCTCTGATCATCTTAGCGGCCCTCCTCCAGACCTGCTCCAAGAGCTCTAAGCCCTATACTGGAGGCCTCAGGCCCAGATGCTGTACTCCAGATGGGGCCTCACAAAAGCTGAGTAGAGGGTGACAATCACCTCTCCCTACCTACTGGCCAGCCCCTTTTTTAATGCAGCTCAGAACAGTTGGTCTTCCGGGCTGCAAGTACACACTGCTGGCTCACATCCAGATTCCCATCCACCAGGACCCCTAAGGCCATCTCTGCAGGGCTGCTCTCAAGGAGATCTTCCCTCAGTTTGTATAAATACCTGCAATTGCCCTGACCCAAGTGCAACGCCTTGCATTTGGCCTTATTGAGCCTCATTAGATTTTTCATGGGCCTACTTCTCCAGCCTGTCCAGGTCCCTCTGGATGTTTTCCCTTCCTTTTAATGTATTGACTACACTGCTCAGTATCATAAACAGAGTTATTACAAAACAAGCTGAATGCTACTGTAAGAAAGAAAAACAGCCAGAAAACAACTAGCTCAGCTTGAGGAAAAAAAAAAAATAATAATAAAAAAAAAAAATACAAAGCCACAGGCAGACTTCCCTCAGACCCACAAGCCATTTACACATCTGAGAAAAATCTGGGGAAGCCCAATTCCCAGCAGTAGAGAAAGCCACAACTGCTATATCCTACTAAGGAGCCACAAGAACTCCACCACTTCAGGCGCCCACCACAGAAATGCAAAAACACCAGACATGGGCCTCCCCCGAAACTAAGAAAGCAAGGCCGTCTCTTCCACCTCTATACCCCTCTTCTACTCTTCTTTCCTACTTTACAGCTCGCTTGCTAACAGAAAAAACCACTAAAGCCACAAACACAACTAAAGCAGAACAAACTACAGGCACCCATTCCGTCGAACTCCCCTAAAAACGTCAGGACTACGCATGCGCACACTGCCTTTCTCCCACAGCGCATGCGCAACCGAGCGCCGCTTTCTTCCCGCCCACCTGCGGCGGCCGCAGCTCAGTGCGTAAACAAAGCGGTGCATGCTGGGGGGCGGGAATTGTTACGCGCTGGGAGAAGGTGCCTCCATCTTAAGCGCTGAGCGCGTCGCGGTGGCGGCGGCAGCGGGATGGCGGCGGACAGCAGGGAGGAGAAAGGTACCTGGAGCTTCGGGTGGCGGCTGGGCGCCGGGTTTAGGGGAGCGGTTCGGGAGCTTGTCCGTTGCCTGAGCCATCCGCCCTTCGCGAGGCCTGCTCGGTTGGTGGCGTTGGGCCTTCGCCCTGGGAGCGTCCATGAGAAGAGCGGGGGGGGCAGGAGGTGCTCGCTGGGGCCGGCTCGAGGATGTGGCACGGGCCCTCTGTGCGGGCAGGCACTTTGGGGGGCAGCGAGATGCTGGAGGTGACGGGGCCCAACTGGGGCGAGGTGACTGGGGGGGGAGTGGGGCACAGGGCAGAGAGCTGAGCCTTGCTCACTGGGGTGGGCGCTTCCGGAGGCGTCCGGTTTGCTGCAGTTATACTGGCAACCACGGCCATATTTCTTTTCTGGGGGGTTTTCTGTCAAGAGCTACGGTCGTTTCAGTAAGCAGAAACTGACATTAGGTGCTTTTAATTGCATTCCTTTGATACTTTCCAATGGTTTTACTGCTTTATGGAGCTGCTGAAGGTTACTAGGCCCTGTGGGTAAATACACTTGAAATCAGTTTTTTTTCCAGGGCAATGTATATTCTGAACGTTTAAAACTTCCTGTGCGGAAGCTTAAGTGATCTGCACGGTGCCTGGGATACTATCTGTTACATACATCGTTCCTCACTAAATTGGCCTTAAAGAAGTTAAAGCGTAATTCAGATGTAGGAGATTGCTGGCTGGTGGCTAGCGCAGATTATAGGCAGTTTTCTGAAAAAGGATCACACGTGGTGTGGGGTGGTTTGCATCATTTTGTATTTCTGTGGAATATACATTTCCCATAAACCTTCTTGCAGGCTGTCAAATGTCTTTGGCCATATCTCAGAATGGTGAAAGTTTGCTACATTTAACACTTACTGTGAAACCAGATCATGTTTAAAATTCCTACTAGATTTTGTTAGAGCTGACAACTAAAAGTATTTCTGATGTTTGATTCTTACCTTTATTATTTTAAAACTAGAGAGGTTAGATATAATTGACCGTTTTGAAACAGACTTGAGCTGTGATCTGTCATTGTAGTAAAGCAGTGAAATTGAAGTATTTACTATTGACTTTCTAAATTTCAACTCCTATAACCATGTTTTCCAGCTAGGCTTGCCCTTTTTTGTTGTTAGGATGTTTTTTCTTTCTTTATTTTTTTTAATCAGTGATAGTGATAAAATCATGAGTAACAGACAAGAAGCTTTTTTGTTTTGTGTTTTAATTTGCTTTTCAGTTTTCTACCCTCAGAAAGGACTGATTCTAACTTAATAGTAAATATTAATGCACATTTGTTTGTAACTGAATTTGTTTCTGCTGTAAATGTGATATTATTTTTATACTCTTTTTAAGAGAGAAATGCTATTTAACTGCTTAGGGAAAGTGAAAATAAACATCACTGACCCTTTCAGTTTTAAATTGCCTGGTCTTATCCCCTCTGTTTGCCGATTCAGATTCTTGTTTGGACCCTTCCTTGAATAGATCTAACTCTTTTGGCCAGCAGAGGAAAAACACTCTCCCCAGGTTACTTTCCTGCTGTTTCAGGTGAGTTAAATTTGTTCATGGAGGGATCCAACACATCCCGGAGTCAACATAAGATGAGTTGCAGGAGAGCCCAGTTGGGAGTGTCTGTAGTGAAATGGACCCATGTGGACCTTCCCCCTTCAGCAGAGATGAACTGTAAGAAATCTGTCCCTCTATTGTTTTTCTGTTTCTTTTTTTGTGCTTTTCCTGATGCTTATCTTGATCTCTCTGAGATAATTTAGCTATCTGATTGAACGCTGACAGTGACAGTGGAGTGAGTGGAATTGTGTTATGAAAGGCATTTGGGCAGCATACCTGATGTAGGTGACGGGTAGGAGCTGTGTGGTCGCACTGCCCTTTTTGCATCAGCAGGCTGCTAAATACATCTGGAAATTTCTTAGGAGTCAAATGCATCGCAGAAAGGGTGGGGAAACCTTTCCTTCTCTCCTTGGGGTACTTCTTTAGGGTTCTGACTATAAATCAAGCCTACCTAATCCTGAAAGCACTTATCAGAGAGTCTGCATCAGACTTGCTTAATCCATTACATTTTTATTATTTTTTCACTTGTTTTGGAAGCAGCTGATAGGCAAATTTTTTAACACTTCTGCATGCAGCTTCAGTGGGTAGGTTAATTATCTTTTACACAAGTATGCTGTTGCCTCCCTAAAACAGAAATGAGGCTGAGTTTCAGTATTTATGATCTGCGATGGGTGATACATTTAAGTCTAGTACACCTATTTTTCACTAGTCTCTGGTAATAAAATCATATGTTGTGAACTTGCCTGGTCTTTTGTGGGGAACGTGATGCAATCCAGGAAATTGCAAACCTTGTTTAGCAGTTGCACAGCTATCAGCCTGTCCCTTAAATTTCTGATCATCAATGGCAAGAATATTGTATGTGGATGTATACTATCTGCAAGCATAAAGGTCTGCTCCTCAGAGAATTATAATGTAACTTTGCATTACCTTTGAATGTCCTTTTCATGCTGCTGCTGAAAAACTTAACCTTCTCTGTGCACCACTTCCTTTGCATCATCAACAGCAGCTGTGCAGTTCAGTGACCACTTCTACATTCCCTTGTCACAGAAGTGCTAGGAGGGAAGCTAGCATATGGTGATTCCGGTGTATATAGAAGAGAGGAGCTTATAAAAGTCAATTTCCTTTCTGGTGTGGGTTATCTTTTTTCTAATACTGAGCTGTAAAACTTATCTTGCGTTACAGCTCAAGGTTTTGGTGTAAAGAAGTCCAACTTGGAGTGACTTTCTTTACTGTTTTATTCCAGTTCAGTCCTGCACAAGAATCCTGGCCGTCCATCTGCTTTTGTTTTCTAAAGCAGAAAATAAAATCACTGGCAGCAATGAAGAATTAAAGAGCTCAAAATTTTAGGAAGTAGGAGAAATTATATGAGACTGCAAAGTTAATACTTTCTCTGTTATTCTCCTTTTATGTGCTAGGGCTTAGTCCAGTCTTATTTTGAATGTGATTAGAGTAATGATTTGCTGTCTCCCATCCCAGGAATCCTTTTACCGGAATCACCACGTATCCCCTCTGGTTTCACTCAAAGTGAAACAGCTGGAAGCAGTGATAAGTTTTAAAAGTTGTGTGACAAGTGTGGTCATTTACTGCTTCTAGCATGAATTTTCTTTTTTTTTTCTTTCCGTGTTGATCAAAGTGAATTAGTTGCAGAGTTGTTTTAGAGCAACTCAGAATTAATTTTACAGCAAATTTGTCTTTCCACTTCTTCAGTGGGATGACCTAGCTTACGTTCTTTCTGTTGATTTATCTTGCCCTTTTTTGGCTTCTTCCTTAGAGGTATATCACAAAATTCCCTTCCTAACATGGCAATGAGAACAATAATATTAGTACAGAAGTGTGAGAATAATTTAAGCTGCAAGATCTTCAGAATTTGGAGCAGAAAGGTCCCTCCACTTCGCTGATGGCACTCAGACTATATCCCAATCTCTTGCTGTTTTGTTTTTTTATTATTATTATTATTTTTCAAATTTTGTACTGGCTTATTTATTAAGCTTCCATTTATAGGTCGGCTTTCCTGCAAAGTATAGTGTGAGGAGCCAAGCTGGACCTTATTCAGGGATTTAAATGCATCCCGTGGCATGTTTTAATTCTTCTATTGGTTTTACTCAATCCGTGCATCAAGCAAAATTTTGGAAAGAACAAAATTGAGAGAACTTTAATTTTTGCTGTGTGGTAAATCTGTAAAGGAAATGTTCTGTTTTCTAAATAGTAGTTTTACTGTAGTTTGTGTCTTCAGACTGTAATTATTCTTTTTTGTTTTCAGATGGTGAACTAAATGTTCTGGATGACATTTTAACTGATGCTCCTGACCAAGATGATGAGTTATATAACCCGGACAGTGAGCAAGATAAAAGTGAGAAAAAGGGTAGGTGACTTTTGTAGTGGATGCTTTAAGTAAAAGGTGTAAAAAGAAAAAAAATTGTCTGTATTACTAGGGTTAAGTCTTTGTAACAGATTTTAGAACCTGATTCAAAGAGTTAAGGAGTAAATGTCTTCCAAGGGGGTCTACTCTTTCACCTCATCTTCCAAACAAGCTTTAACTTGGTTACCTTTTGCCTTAGAAGTAATTGTGGAGGCTGCATTGTCATGAGTGTATTTGCTGTTGGAAAAGTCTGTACTGTTTGCTTTAATGAAGTGAAATGGAGCCAGGGGGCCCACAAGTCTTGTTCTAGCTCAGTTGTTAATATGCTTTAGGCCAATATCATAAGCATTTGCTTAATGTTCCGATGTATGATGTTTGGAAAACACCTATCGAAACCTAAGGGATTAGTTGCTCTTTTAAAGTGTTATGCAAATTTTACAGCATCAGCTGTTCCAAACAAGCCTTTCTAAATGTTGTTACTGAACTTACAACTGAGTGTAACAGGGCATTTACCAAAAGTACAGAAAGCAGGAGTCTCTGTAGAGGTTCAGGTTTGCTATACAAAATAACTTTGAGCTTGATATCTCTTCTTATTTAAGGATCAAAAAGAAAAAGTGACAGGTTGGAAAACGTTGAAAGCAAGAGACAAAAGCCTTCTGTGCATTCATCGAGGCAGATGATGCCAAAGCCTCCTAGTTCATCAGTTAG